TTAATGAAGCTGCCAAAAGCTGTTGTAATTAGCTTTACAAAAAATCTGATTTACTACAAAAAAAATCATTGAAAAAAAAATTTATGATTTAATTTCCATATTAAGAGCCGAGACTTCAGCGTAGATCAACATCTGTGCCAGGCGTTTAAGACGAAAAAACTAAAAAATCGTTCTCAATGCGTTTAATGCGAATTCGGTAATGTTGAAAATTCCATAAGTTCAACTATTTGGCTGCTCCGGCTTACATAATTTTTATTAATACTCTTTTTTCAATAATGATTTTTTGGTTTGACTAATCTGACAGCTGACCACCGGGGGTTCGCTCTAGATTTCATTAGGTATACACCAGCTATTGCAATTGCTACATACGTGTACATACAAGTGTCAGCAACTAGTCAAAACATTCTGACAACATATCTGAGCAGATTAAACGACCATTATACCTCTTATGCAATTGATATTGAAATGTTTGCAAAATTGTATTTACACTAGCACGTTTGTAAGTATGTTTGTCATTATGTTGAGCGTAAAGCCTAGCACACGCCATCGTAATCGCCACCGCCACCACTAACAGTTGTTGGCAGAAATGTGCGCCTGGCTGAAAGTGTCAATAGAAAAACAGGCAAAAAATATTGGCTGCGAGGAAAAAAATGGTAAATATTCGAATGGTCAACTGCGAAGGCCAACTGTTTCGCCATAAAAAATGGTAACCTACATAGTCGTCAAACGGACATAGGCTGCGTTATTATGTACTTAAAAGTATGAATTTAATGGAGTATGAAAATTTTGAACTTCTCTTTTCACTCAGGCAATGCCTGCTAAAGCGACTGCGCTGCTGACATTATCGCTTTTGACCGCATGGCCCTCAAAATGCATGCCATTTACAAATACCTTATATTGCTGCATGCATATATATATATGTATATAAGTAAATACATATAAGAATATAGACTGTTGAAATGCTGTTGCTTTTACAACTACAAGCAGCATAAGTCCATTTGCTCATAAATCGTTATAAATCAGGATTTTCATGGTTAAATTACGCACTGAATTGAAATTGAAAAGAATTACGAAGATTTCTTTTTTTTTTTTTTTGATTATGGCATAATTAATATGCGAATTTCGAGGTTTCTGGCCTCGATAAGAAAACGCAACATTTCTAAAAATGTGTTTAGTTAATAATTTTTTTAATTAAATTAATTTTTAATTTATTTTCCAGCACAAAGATCAATTTATATGTATTTTTATTCGAAAAATTTGCATTTTAATTAGCGTGACTTATATATTTATTTTATTATTATAATATAATATTAATATTAATGTCTTCTTAACTGTTTTCTTTTTATACAATATTTTGTCGAAAAAAATTAAAAAACTTCCCACAGCCACCAACTGTCAGTTGACAAATCTCATAAAATTGCGTAAAAATATTATTCACTCATTCTTTTCAAAAGTAGACTTGGATCACTTTCATTTGTAACTGTTAACTTGTAAATATATAATATAGGCAAAATATTAAATTTGGTTTTTTATTTGCTCTTCAGCCTTGGGATACACATAAGTCCATGAAAAGAGGCTGTAGAGAGCAGCTGTAGCACGAATCGAAGGGTGTTTTTTAAGACTGATGAAATAAATTGCAAATAATTTAAATTTACGGCGTAGAGAGTTTAGCTGTATCGTAAAGATAAAGGTTTGTCATTTTGTTTAAAAAATGATTTTGGGGCCATTGGTCACCGCGATTGGTTCGAAAAGATTCCAGCCGAGAGTCCTATATCTCGACTACTTTTTACAGCGCGCTGAACATTCTCTTCCCGTGCGTCCATTGTCTCGTGCTTATTTGCGTAGGCAAGCGACTTCACATGATCTCACAAAAAATAGTACGTCACTGTTAAACCCCACTATCTTGAAGGCACCGCCACAAGCCCACGACGTGAGATAATGAATTCACCAAAAGTTTCCTTCAATCAATTTTTTTATTCGTTCGCTGTCTGGCAAGTAGCCTCTTCTTGTTAAACCAATGAATATTCTATCGACATTCTCCAATTCAGGTGCGAAAAAGTGATTAGTCATTGCTCTATAGCGCTCCCTCGTCTTGTTTTGAATCTATTCACCGAATGTGTCACGCGCTCGATTTGATTGTCGTTCTTCCGCTTCAACTCCAGCACGATATGGGTTTCGTAAGCACACGAACCAAGATCCTTTAAAAAATCTTCTATTGGACCCTGCTCTAATTGTTGACAGGTCTTCTTCGATACTCTGCTCCACAGGAGCAATAACGTCTTCGCCCATTAAAAATCACACAACTGAAAAGAGCACCCTTTACAATACTTTATATACAACAGTAAAACTGTGTCTGAAGTACTTTACGCCCGGGGTCTTGAGTACATAGAAATGCGTGTAACAGATCATAGGTTTGAGAACCAGCCCGAACAACATTCAAAAAGAAAAAAAAGAAAAGCCGCTAGTCGGAGACAACAAATGTAGCCACGAACTTCTCCACCTGATCTTTCTAACACATGTTAAGAGCTTCTTCCTTCTTTACGTGCCCGTGTGGGTATTGCATCGATCGCATTCGATATCTGGTGTGGTTTCGTTGGTGCGACGTTGCCTAGTCTGCTTAGTCGCAGTCTTTTTATTGGCTAAACTAAATATATTAGATGTCGAAGTGTTCATTGTTTCATCGTCTGAGCTATTCCTCATTTTAGGTACATTCGAAAAATCTTTCTGTATAAAACTTCGGATTTTATGATCATTTAAGCCTTTTCCACCCTTCAGCAGGATCATGGAACCATAGCCATATTTTCAAACGTCTTAAAACTCGACCAAAAAGTGGGCTGTAGAATCACTCTTCAATACTCTCCATTAGCAAAACGATTGATCTAATAACATCACTTAAGGGACCTCACGGGAAATGAATGGGATCCCAGTTTAATTACTCTGCAGCAGCTACAGGGACGAAGAAGTGGAAGAGTCACTGTCCAGCCTTGAAATCTGCACGACACAAGTTCCTCGGGACACTTCTATGAGTGATTTTATAAGGCACATTTGAGAAGGTGATGGTAGTGGCCTCACAGGTCACCGATTAACATCCTCATCAACTCCACTCAACTCATATCTATGTACTCAATGGATACGCTTTTGCCTTCTTCTCGATTCAAGGTTGGGCGCCTTCGCTCATGATAAGCAATTCGGAAGAAAACAAAAAGGTTGTAATCGACAACAATTAATAAATCTATATACGTAGTAGGCGCAGTTGTACTTTGAGCGCAAAGTAAAAAGAGAAATCATTGTCGACTAAATGAACATTCCCAGACGAAATTATTTCCTAACGTCAACCCAACCCAACACTTCTCATTACTTTTCCATTTTATTAACACTATATTTAGTAAACAATAATTAATAAATATATTTTAAAGCACTTAAGGTTAACCACAGGTTATCGGCTGCAACAGAAATACAATTCATACCGGTTTGGTTGATGACAAGGAAATGTCTTCTGCTGGGAGCAAATTTATGAATTCGCGTAATCAGTTTGGTTGTATGTGTGTATGCATACGTATGTGTGCTTATTATCAATATTTGCTGAGTAATTTCTACTAATTTTAAATGCCTATGCATGTGGTCCACATGTATGCATGTATGTAAGTATTTACAGTTAAGAGTAGTGAAATAGAAGTGCGTTCTAAATTTGAATATTTTTACTGTGATAGGCACGGTAGCCGAGGGGAAAGCATTAAAAGCTTCCATGGCGAAGTTAATGAGCTCTAACCCCCTCCCACTGTATTTTAGACATAACAAAAGCCACTCACAAAAAACATACAGCCATTTGGATGCGAGCTTATAAACCATATTGTAGGCCTCCCTTCTACTTCTTTATTGGCGTAGGCAACGCTTACGCGATTATAGTCGAATCAGTGGAATTAGGTCGCACTCCAACTGATCCTACCAACGGATTAGAGGTCATTCTCTTCCTCTGCTTCCACCAGCGGGTACTGCATCAAATACTTTCAAAAACTGGACTGCTTTCATCCACTCGGACGACATGATCTAGTCAGGGTAGACGCTGTCTCCTCTTTTACTCAGCTATGTCAATGTCGCCATGTATCTCGTACAGCTAATCGTTCCTTCGTAAGCGATATTCATCGTTGGCAGTGCGCAAAGGACTATAAATCGTTTGTAAAACTTTTCTCTCGAAGTCTCTCAAAACCGACTGATCGGATATCGACATCGGCAATGTTTCTGCACCATATAGTGGGACGAGTATGATAAGCCACTTGTAGAGTTAGTTTTTAGCTCGTTGAGAGAGGCCTCTCTGCTGTTGGCAAAAGAGCCTGGCAGAAAATCACTTCAGGAAACCTAAAAACTAGACGATATTATCAATTCTGGCCGCTGTTGAAATCTTTCCTTATTTTTGACTAAAAGTATTCTGGGCCTTCATCAATGATTAGATTGTCTCTATAGTATTTAGATATGTCACAAGCGAAAGATTCTCCGTTTATGATGAGACCCTACCTTTTCATAAAAGAAAGAAATACCACCTCAAGGCAAACCAACTTTTGGTTTAAATCTCCCCTTTTTTATAATATAACTTATTCAAGGGATCATTTTTGGATTGATGTTCTAAATAAAGTGCCGATGTCTTATCTTCGTTCGTTTTCCCTTGAAGTAGTGTCAACATTATTCTTGCATTTCGCACTTAGCAAGACTAACTTTTGGAGCTCCTCCTCGACGTCGTATAAAATTAGGTAATCCAATGGCAGAAAATTTGTTAAGAAGGAATGTAAAATCTGCAGAAATTAACTAATTGAAAGAATAATAGAGGAGAGGTAAGAATACTAGGGCGACGGACCAACTATTCGGGACCTGTGTTTGTCCTTGATGGTCTCACTACTATTATGGAGTAGGACCAGCAGATATTCATGATTTTGTGGTTAGTAAATATATTTTACGGTTTGTTTACATGAAAATAATACATTTGATTTATTTATGTACAATCTCATTTAACATACATACGCACATGTGTATATTTGTCTATTATATTATATTATATTATGCATTATATCGACATCTTAATTAAATCTCAACAAAAAGTTCGTTATTAACCAAAATCAACAATAGTCCACACTTCACAGTTGTTCCTCCCTTTTCTTCTTGCCAAACGTCTCGCCGTCCTCGATAGTTTCAGGCAAGGGAAAGCCGCGTGTCTCCGGCAAAAGCAATACCGATGCTGCGGCTGCAAGAGAAAAACCGCCAAACACCGCTGGTGGTATCCACAGACCACGCGTCGACAAGGCCGATATGAAGGGCGCCACAATTGAGCCTACACGACCCACAAATGAGCACAGACCGACACCTGAATTGCGCACCACTGTCGGAAACAGCTCACCACCATATAGATAAACATTCGGAAATGTCACAGAAGCGCCATATAGACCCACGGTGGCCATTGTCACTGTCATTGTGCTGCTTAGTGATGGTGCGAAAGCCAGCACCATCAAAGCAATGCCACTGAGTGAATTCGAAAGGAAAAGTGTTATGCGACGTCCAAGATATTTCGTCATCGGTATACAGAGTAGTGTACCGGGCACACCCAGCGCAGCACCGATTGTGACATTCATAAAGATGTCACCGCCCAAATGCGAAATATGCTGCGACACGCCATAATAGACAAGACAGACGACGAGCCAGTTGAAGGCCATTGCCAAGGTTTTCTGACACAAGTAGGGATGTCGAAAGAGATCGATGATATTACCCTTCTTCGAGGCGGGTGAGGCGGCATTGATCTGTGAGGCCTGCTCCAATTCGCTGCGTATATTATCGGTGGCGACTTTATTGCGTTTGCAGGCAGTTTCAAGTATTTTGACAGCGCGATCGGTACGACCGGTGGTGAAGAGCCAGCGTGGTGATTCTAGAAGTTAAAGAAGATGTACGTGCATGTGTAAGTACTATCTCAAATATTTAAGTGTACTCATATTTCATTAATGCTCACTTACCCGGCACAGTCCAATAGAAGAGTATGTAGAGCGCTGAGAATGAGGAGAAGGCGAGATGATACCAACGCCAATGCCTAAAGAAATAGGCGAAGACCGGTAAAGTGGCGTGACCTAGATTGAATGGAATCTGGTAGAGTATTGCCATTATTTCTCGTTTGCTTTTGCCCACAATCTCCATGATGATAGTGAAGCTAAGTATGAAGAAAGAGATGATGAATTAATTATACAAACATATTTACATAAGTGTGTTGAGATATTCGCTAGCGGCAAGATTTATGCTGTCATGATGTCGTTACGCAGAGACAGAGCGTAAATAAAATAAGTCTACATGAAGAATAATTTATTAATTTATTTGGGCAATACTTTCAACAGAGTTACCGTCATTTTTTAATTTATAAACTTTTAGGAAATATACATGAAATATTAAATGTAATTTAGAATTAAGAGCCTGATAAAGACGCCACCAAAAATGAAATCAACAATAAGAAATTTTGTGTAAAGTACAAGCACGGCGATGCCCTCAAGTCGCCCCGAGTGGTTAGCATTGCGTACTTCCATTCAGAAGGTCACGGTTCAATGGTTACGCCAAAAAGCGAAACTGTCGCATCTAGGGCTCGGTAAAGCCAAGATTTATTGTTGAAAAGTCTCTCCTTCCTAAACATGTAACTGTTTGGTGCGGTTTATGGTACGGCGGGATTATTGGAACTTCCTTTTTCCTAGTGGCGGGAATAGGATAGTATTGATCTGTACAAGGTTTAGCTTCAACAAGACGGCACTACGTGCCACACAAGCAACGAAATCATTAATTTTGCAAGGGGAAAGTTTCCGAGACCGCGTTAACTCTCGAAGGGTTGATCGCAATTGGCCTCCGAGATCTTGTGATTTAACACCTTGTGACTTGACGCAAAGTTTGGAATTCCACCTTATTTTTTTAACCAACCTTGTAGATCTCCATAAGTTATTTAGTGTATTAGGCTGATAGGTATTAAAATATCTTCCGATGCTTGTAAGTGTAAGAAGAGAAAATACACTACCGCCCACATTAAATCCGATGTAATCAGCATGACGAACTAGAGTAATTTAGCCTATAAGTGCCTATCCTACAAAATTACTCCTTATTTTGATCGCTCTGTCACTTTAGGTTGTAATAACTACTAAAGCTTTTACTCACCCGGTTGACATCGTGGCACCTGTGGCGAAACCATCCAAGAATCGCAGCAGTACAAAGAGCCAAAACCAGGGAGCAGCTGAAACAAGGCAGCCGAACACTAGTTGCATAACGCAGGCACTCACAAACATGGGCCGACGACCCCATCTATAAAGGAAGAAACCAAATAGCACAATTATGTCGATTATATAACAAAGCGCACAAGCTCAGGCGAAAGCATTGAAACAAGAGTATGTACACTGAAAGTGTGCAAAATTTAAAGTCACTGTCTCTCCAACTCACTTATCGGCAAAGAGACCAAAAACAATGTTGCCCAACATAATGCCAATCATGACGAAACTCTGCGCCAGACTAGACAACCACTGACGGTCACAGATTAAATTCCATTCAGTTATGATGTTCTCTTGGAAAGTACAGCGGTCGTACCCCACCTCTTTGCAGTCAGCTGAGCAAACATCAGTATTGTTATCAGGCGCAACGCAGACACTTTTTATTGGCGATTGTAGGAACACCATCGAGATCTGTACCCAACCGGTGGGGAATTTGGAAAGGAAGATCCATAGGCAGACAATGAGCTGCCAAGGACCCAAATCACTGCCCAAAATAGAGATGATGGGATCGGCGCGTGTGGGCTTATCTGAAATATTTAAGACTTATAAATAACTGTACACATTTGTCGCATTGTTGTGTTATGCATTTCAGCGCATCTCACACTTCCAACTAACCATCGCGTTTTTCCATTGCCACTTGTGACGTATCCTGCTGACACGGTTCGTTACGGCGCTATGCGTTTACGCTTTCACTTTCACTTTCTTCTGCAATACAAACCAACCCACATAGACAGTCGTCAACTGCTTGACACTGCCTGACACTGCACTTCACAAACACGTATGTATGTATGTATATTTCGAAATTTGTTCCTCCCTCACGCGTAGTACAACTTCTTCACGTACTGCTCGACCAGCTACTGACTGTGCAGCAGCTTGGACAGCAGAAATGAAAAATTTACTACCGAAAAATGTAGGCGGCCGAATTGATTAGATTAAGCGGAGGCGTGATACATTTTAATATTTATTAAATAATTTTAACATATTTAATATGATATTTATTATTACAGCTTCGTCTGAATTACCGACGCAACGCGTGTAGATAGACACCGACGGAGCTCTGCGCACAAATATCGCCAGTAGTCTGCGCTTGCCGGCTGCATAGGGATAGATAGACATATTGGCATTTGAGCACTACGCCACCGTCAAATACATACATATAATATTAATATATAGGTATATATGGGTTTCTGGTTTATACTCGTATACATATAAACGCACCGAAATATTTTAAGCCGGAACTCTGTTAGACTCATTCAGTAGTAGACAAAAAGCGTTGAGAGCATCGTACTGTGTTTGTTTATATGTGTGTATGTATGTATATATTTAGTGATAAGTGTGTACACATATTACTTCGGTAGTATTGTATTGCTTTGTTCGTGTAGCTTTTTTACTTTGTGACTGTGACTGTGCCTTTACCGCTGCCGCTCATTAAGGGTAGATTTGTTCAGTTGTGGGAATGCTTTGTGCGTTGCAGAAACGAAGTTAGACACAAAGGTATATTTACTACACAGTGGCACTGTAACTGCATAAATTAAACGGATAAATTTTTAGTAGTAGACTGAGGTAAACAATCCCACCTCGTTTTTCGATAGCTGCCGATCTATGTATTATGGTTTGCTTATGGTTTGCTCGTTCCAAGAGACCTTGCTTCTTGAGTTGCCTACCGGGTAGCTTCAAACTGGCAGCAATAACATGAACTTTTTATCATTTATCAACTGGGCTGAAGAAACTCTCCCAAAATACTTCTATGTACCGGATTAAGCGCTCTCTCGCTATCTCAACTCTGCTGTATTTATACACATACAAGCATACATATGTATATTATCTATTTATTATATGCTCCTAAGCTTGTAAAAAAAAGGCCCGGCTTATCACTCATAACAGTTGAAATAGAGCTGCGAGTTCGCTGTTTATTTTGCATTAGCTTCTTATCGCTGTGCTGAGTCGAGAAACACATAAAGTGGGTTGGCCGTCACTATTTTGCAAATTAAGTAAATATGAATGGACTTTCTTTCAGTAAATAGTCAAGTCCAATGTTCAAAAAGTTTTATTATTTTACTAATACTTATTTTGCGGCCGCTAAAGCAGAGAGATTAGCATTGCGTAGAGAATTAATTTAAATAAAATAAATTAAGTCGTATTTCAGTAATGAAAATCAATGCTCCTGAAAAAAAAAACATCAGCCGCTCGTAGGCGACTTAATTTAAAGTGTAAAATAACATACATATGTGAGAAAGCCATCAAAACACATACGATAAATCTGAGCGAGTGAAAAGCAAAACATATATAACATATATATAATATTTACTTTACTACCCTAATGTTCGATTATTCTTCAAATGCACTGTATATGCAATACATACAAATGCGCTTACGGCAGGATATTGTATGTAAGTATGTGTGTGTATATGGCATTGTATATTTGCGTAAGCTTTATAGCAACTATGAAATAAAGGTCAGAACGAAGGTCGTCGCACTCCTACAGGGTGGTACAAAATATTTTGGAGCAAAAATCTTACATTTTGAATGCAAGTTATATATAAGTATATAAAGGAATTAAAGCAAATATACGATGATAGATTTGGTGTAATAAGTAGGAAATGTTCATTTTGTATGTAGGATTTCTCAAATCCTCTGAGGTCGACCCCTGCATTGTAAAATAGAAGTAACCAAATTTGTTGTAAAATCACCTAATTAAATCAAAGTTTAAATATTATTCAATAAATCACAATTTGCTTTACTATACACGACGTTTTGTTTGACAACTTTCACACTCTACTCTATTCACTTTGCACCAACGTTGTCACCAACGAGTTTGCTTTTGTAACTGATAGCGCTGTGTTGGCCGCTGTCTTCGATACCACATTCATTGCTCGTACTTAGCTCTGGAAATTCTGTTAAGTTCTTAAGATATACAGAACATTCGAAGTGCATGCTCTAAAATGTGCTTTAGTTATCGGTATTTTCTTTTCATCTCACATTGGTATTTGGCCTTTTCGCTGCAATACGTTTATATTCGAAAAATTTCATTTAAAGAACTTTTTACTTGTTACATATAAATATTTATTGAAAACAAATCGTTATCATGTCTGGTCCGAACCCAAATTAGGGAAAACTAATTACTTTCTGCTCCTCGTAAAAAGCCAACCGTTCAAAGGCGAACCCCCATATTGTTGGAGAAAATCAAGACGCACATCACAGATTGGAGAGCGAACTCAACAAAATAAGAAAACCTAATAATAAACGTTTTGCAAAATGTTACTTTTATTTCGAACTTTCAAAATTTTCCGAAACAATAATTGTGAAATTTAGAAATAGTTAGTTAAGGCCGTTCGACATGTCACAGATCAACGATCTGTAACAAGTTTATCATTAATGCATTGAGCAATCTCGACGTAGTCATCTAACTGACATACCCAAGAGAGATAATCGAATTTTGATAAAGAAAATGTGTAAGTCACCCTATAAATATGCAACAAAAAAATGTAAAACTATAAAACTCTAAAAAAGTTTTTTTTTCTTTTTTACTTTATAAATACAATGGAAGAACAATATAAATACAATATTCGCAATACTCCAACTCAAATTCAGTAAAAAGTGCCTGTTATGCGCATGTCCACGTGCAAAAGCTCACCCTGGCTATCGAGCCAAAGCTCTTGGTTTGGTAAGCAACTAAGGGAAATGCTTTTAACAGGGTGTAACAAATGCTTGATTTATAAAAATAATTCCAAATGGTAACGAGTAATTTTAAATTGAGCTTTTTTTATTAAGTGAATCCAGAATTTTTAATTCGTAATACGGTTGCCCATGTTGCATCGGGTAGCAAAATAGTTTCTGAGAAACTTACACCATTCAGGTACAGTAATATGTATTCGTGTTCTTCATAGAAAAATTTTAATATAAGTATTAGTTATAAATCAGCTTTTGTAAGGGGAATTTACCACTTTCATCACACTGGTCTATTCTGAGTTGAAAGTCTTTGAAAATATAGTTTCCTAGGTTTAACGATTGTAACGATGAATAAGTAATTTTCTTCAGATAAACCAAAAGCTTATTATAAAATAATAAATTGTTTTTAATCAATCTGTACAATATAATATATTTGAAAATTCATATGAGAAAGCGAAAAGAAATGTGAAACAAAACCACGTTCCAAAGGCTAGGTTCAAAGGAAAATCACGTCAGCCTACCTGAAAAAGAGGAATAATCGATGGTTGGAAATATAACCCGTGCGGTAAGGACAGTCCCAAATTAGTTGTTAGCCGTGAAACCCACTTTGCCGCCTATTCATTGCCTTAAGTACTCGTAGGACTAAGGGCTCAAGTGTTTTGCTTACTGTGTTTTTCCGAGCGGTTGCAATAGCCGAGCGGTCATTTGGAATGCCAGGGTTCCAGTCATGGTCCGACCAACATACAAAAATAATGAAAATCCGAGTGTTTTTTGACATGAAATAGAAGCTCCTCATAAAATTCATCGAAAGCCATTCCGAGGCGGCTAAGCACAAACCATAGATCCCTTCGTTTGCAAAGAAAATATGAAGACGCGGACTACTAATTATAGGATGAGCTCAAGCGAAAATCGTTTGAGCGGTTTTTAAACGGCCAATTATATCTACCGGAGACAAGGTCATCGCTACCATTGTATATACCTCCGATTGACTCTTTTTAACTTGAGAAAAGGACTTAGTGCCTTGCGTCAGGCAGAAAGGTTTCTTTTTCCTTAATTAATGCAGGGTGTTCTAGTAAAATCTTCACTGAAATAATCCCCCCGAACGGAACCTCCTGCGTTCGCTGACTTTCTTAAACTTTTCGGATTTCCAGCACCCAGAGCAACTTAACTTATAGCGACGCCACTGCATCAACATCAACGTCTCGGACTGAAAAAAACTGACCAAAAACACGACATTTTGCAAAGATCTCAATTCGCAAGGATGAGAAAAAAGCTGAGTCGATTTTGAGTCAGTGAGAAATACCAAGGATAAAGGATAAGGTCGGGGTGTTCCTTTTTCTTTTAATTTGATTGACTTCAAAATAAAAATTAACCATGTCAAGGATTTAAGCGAGATAAAAATCTGCATGCAGCAAAACAACCAGTAATCAGCATAAATAATAAAGTATAAAGTAAAACCCTAAACATAAAAATATATGTACATACATGCATAATTGTTGTATTTATGTTGCACGCTCATTTAAAGACGATCCTCGTCGTCGAACTTGCCACGCGTCGCGCACACGTATCCACGGCTAAACGCAGCAAACAATTGCCTGAGGCGAGAAAAACCGCTGACAAGACCAGCGCATCGTTTCACCAATTGACATATCTACATACAACATAAATGTTGGCGGGAATGCAGCGGAAGTGCAAACCTATCCATTTAGGGCAGCCGAGAGCAAATCATTCCCTGAGCGACCAAGTTACTGGTAACTCCGTTAGCTGCTTTGAGATTAGCCGCTTCTGCTTCAAGGGCAGGCGTTAGGGGTTGTTCGAGAGGCGTGGCAGTGTTGCGCTTGCGCTTGCGCTTATGCCACCGGCGTCTGTCAAATTGACAATCTTAAGTGCAATCTTGTTACAAAGCAATGTAAACACGATTGTTAATTTCACTTTCCACAACAAAAGCAAGCACAGCGCACAACAACCACAAGCGCGCTAGATGTTCACTACAAAGCGTGCTGATAGTTACTTCCCAGGGGTGCAATGAATGCAAGGCCACAATTAAATTATCGCATTTCACAAATAAACGTATGTTGCCGAGGCGATTTCCTCATTGAAGGCACACACATACATACATACGTGTATGTATGGGCAAGTGTAGATACCTGCGCCGTATAGGGTCGGAATGCACTGATTTTGTTTGTATTTTGTGGTTGTTTTTGGTGTCTGTCGTCACCTTTGATTTGCTTGTTGTTATCTTTATATTTGTTGTTATTTTTTGTTTTATTTTATGTTTGTTTTAAATCGTTGCGCTTAGTTCAATTGTGCGTTTGGTGTGTGGGAAATAAAAATATTTGAATTCATTTGCATTCAGTGTCGCACTTATCCGCCTCGTGGAGTGGGAAGTAGATTTATTTTTATAATTCTTAGCTTACATTACCGTAAATAAGGCAATTTTCAACCGCAATGACTCAATTAGCATAATAAAAACTGTTGCAACAACACTTTCTCAGGGGAAAAGAGAAGTGTCGGCATACGAAAAATAACGAGAGTTTTAATTTTTGAACAAAATTTTTATGTACTCGAATACACTGAGATTGACGCCTCGTAGAGATTATGTACTTTTCCGGCGCTTGTTTCAATTCCTGAAATATTTCTACCTTTGAGAGAACCTTTAGAGGAAGACGACGACCATTTAAGGTTCTCTTTCTTCTTGGAAATCTGAAAAGGGCAAACGGAGCCACGTCTCGCGAATTTGGCGGCTGAGCATCTTTGCAACATTGTTTTTGACCGAAGAATTCACGAACCAGCAGAGAAGTGTGTGCAGTTGAATTACAGAGATGTCAAAACGATGAAAATTTTTACCCGAACGACTTTTTTTGGATTACTTCTAGCCAACGGTTTGTATGTAGTACTCCTTATTGACGGTTTTACTGGTTGGTAGGAATTCATAATGACATCGAAGAACACAGTGAGCATGTAGTTCACATCCGACAGCACTTGAACGTTTTTCGGTCTTGGCCAGAATGCCTCTACTGCGTTGATTGAACTTCAGTTTGACTTCATTTAGTAACTCCTGAGTAATTTATTATGACCGAAACATTGGAAAAGATCTCATGATCCAGCGACTTCTCTAATTCCTATTAGGCGATTGGTCATAACCATTTCCTGCACTATTTACGTCTTCAGGACGTTCTTGGAAACGCCCCTTTGAGGGGTACGTAATGTGATGATTCTTAATTAAGAACGCTCATAAACTTAATTTTAAGATCGAAATAGCTCGCCTAGCAACGCAAAACCGCTAGAGCGATTTTCGACCGATCTCCTCTTCCAATTTACACACACTCGTGGAGCTTGGACTTCCCTGCAGAAAGTCGAAGGCAATTGGAAAAGTTAATTTTCTATAATTTGAATGTTGGTTGAACCAGGACCCGAACACTGGCCTTCCGAGCGGCAGTACGCAATGCTAACAACTCGACAACCGCGGCCACCAAAGCCCCGTTCTATCGGGCAGTGAAAGTGTGGCCCCAGAAAAGTCTACGTTGCGCTACTTTCACGAAGGCAGGGATTGCAGAAACCCTTAAATAAGACCACGTGCCTTAAGGACAGAGTTTGGGAATGTCCGAGTTGCTATCTGCACTATCCAAAAATATGATTCGTGTCACCGTTTTTACCTACGTACACGTATGTTTTTTACGCGTTTTCTAGGTATTATAAAGCGAGATGCGCCAGGCTCTTGCTCTCTTAGAAATTGAGTGCAGACCATTAAAGAAAATTCTAAAATTCTATGAAGCCTCTTACTTATCCATATTTTAATTTCTACTGAACTAGCTTGTTAAAATACCAACTCAAGTACCTTCTTGTCTTAGTTGTACACTTCTCAGCCCATAATAACCCACAATCGTCCCAGGTATATCTACTTTTACTTAATATCATTTTAGTCTATGAACAAAATCTGCTCCGGAAATTCATTTGGTACAGATTTTTCCAACATCCCCCCACTGTTAATGCTCTGTGTACACGCGTGCTACATTTTGTGAGTGTGGCAACCACTTCACACTTAATCTCTGAACGTGTGCTCGGCCGCAGGGCTCTAAATAAGCAAAATGGATTTATTTTTAACATGATTTTTTTTGCACTTCGCGGTAAGACTTTGCGTGTGCGCAGTGAATGAGTGTGGTGAATTGATTTGTTTGTTTTGATGTCAAAATTGGTGTAGTAAATAATGAGTACAATAATATTTTGAAGATAATGAAACGTGGCGCTCAATTGCATAAACAACTATTTATTCAGAGATATCGTTGATGAGCTGCGGTGAGAAAAGTAAATAAGCGCAAATTTTGTGTTAAGTGAAAGATTTCAAATATTTTTTTAGACACTTAGCACAAGATCTTTACTCTCCAAACTGGCCGAGATACACGATTACGAGTTCTATGTAGGGAACACAAAGATGAATTTAAGGGATATAGTGAATGAGCCGCTGTGGCGAATTCGGAAAGATATCTCAGGTAGTCAGGCTAAAGATTTTGTGAAAAAATGTGAATAATGGAGTCGAAACAGTGAGGACTCGCTGCAAGATGAAGTCAAAACATATTTTCCAGGGGGACTGCGTAGATACAAAGCATGGTAAAAGCCCCCCGGACATTATAATGGAAAAATACTGTGGAAAATCGATGGCTTCGAGGAGTTTAAGCCACTAGGTACAGACGGCATCTTTCCAGCTATGATACAATAAATTTCCGCAGGGCTGAATCATACTTTGTAAGCACGTTCAAAAAGGTTCTGGACGTATACATTAGGGATATACTGCCATTGGCTAGCATATTAAAGGCGCGACATACTATTGGGTTGCCCAAAAAGTAATTGCGGATTTTTCATATAGTCGGCGTTGACAAATTTTTTCAACGGCTTGTGACTCTGTAATTGCATTCTTTCTTCTGTCAGTTATCAGCTGTTGCTTTTAGCTTGCTTTAGAAAAAAAGTGCGCGAAATTTTGTTTACATTTGTTTGTTTGGCGTCAATTTTAATATGGAGCCCACAAAGGAGCATTTTCGTCATATTTTACTTTATTATTTCCGTAAAGGAAAAAACGCGGAGCAGGTTGCTAAAAAGTTACGAGATGTGTATGGTGATGAAGCCTTAAAAGGAAGACAGTGTCAAAATTGGTTTCGCAAATTCCGTTCTGGAGATTTTTCACTTAAAGATGAGCCACGTTCAGGTCGGCCAAATGAAGTTGATGATGACCAAATCAAAGCATTAATCGAATTGGATCGTCATGTAACTGAGCGTGAGATAGGAGAGAAGTTAAATATACCAAAATCAACCGTTCATTATCACATAAAAAGTCTTGGACTGGTGAAAAAGCTTGATATTTGGGTACCACATGTATTGAAAGAAATTCATTTAACACACCGAATCAACGCTTGTGATATGCACCTTAAACGCAATGAATTCGATCCGTTTTTAAAACGAATCATAACTGGAGATGAAAAATGGATTGTTTACAACAACGTTAGTCGAAAACGATCATGGTCCAAGCATGGTGAACCAGCTCAAACCACTTCAAAGGCTGATATCCACCAAAAGAAGGTTATGCTGTCTGTTTGGTGGGATTGGAAGGGTGTCGTATATTTTGAGCTGCTTCCAAGGAACCAAACGATTAATTCGGATGTTTACTGTCAACAATTGGACAAATTGAATACAGCCATCAAGGAGAAGCGACCAGAATTGGTCAATCGTAAAGGTGTCATATTCCACCAGGACAACGCTAGACCGCACACATCTTTGGTCACTCGCCAAAAACTGAGTGAGCTTGGCTGGGAACTTTTGATGCATCCACCATATAGCCCTGACCTTGCACCATCAGACTACCATTTATTTCGATCTTTGCAGAACTCCTTAAATGGTAAAACTTTCGGCAATGATGAGGCTATAAAATCGCACTTGGTTCAGTTTTTTGCAGATAAAGGCCAGAAGTTCTATGAGCGTGGAATACTAAATTTGCCAGGAAGATGGCAAAAGGTTATCGAACAAAATGGCAATAATATATTTGATTAAAGTTCATTCTAAGTTTTATTAAAAATGCATTTACTTCCTTTTAAAAATCCGCAATTACTTTTTTGTTACCGGCGGTAGTTAAGCCGTATTGCTCTTTGGCTCTCAGGTGTGGTGGACCACTGCCAACAAAATCTCATATAGTAAACTATTGGGACAGTAGCTCGCTGCACTGGGCATAACAGGAGTCTTGAGGGTTACTCCAACGGCGGCACTTGCAAGGATATTTGACGACAATCGACATCTCAGTGGGGAGCACTGTAGGGAAATCTGAAGTGGGATTGATGATCTTAGGAGAGTTATCCGCTCGATAAGCAGCGCCGGGCACAGATCGATATGCAGCTTCCAGAGTACAACAGTTTTTTCCAGGAGGAGGTCAATTGAGACGATAATTTCACATTGTGAAAGATGGTCTTAGAAGCAAAGAAGCAGTGGACAAGTCAGTCAAGAGTAAATGGCTGTATGTATGTACACTGGAATACAGATCACAAAGGCATACGAAATAGCATAAAGGATAACGAAATAGCTGATGATGTTGCCAAAAGTCCAATCCGTTTTGATAGCGAACTAGTACAGCAAACACAAGAACGATTTATTAAGAATTTTACGAAAGAGCTCGCGTAAGAACTGCAGTACAGTTGTTGGCCTAATCTACTGGCATACCATGCGAACAGGCATTAGTAACAGGAACACATGTAGGGAATATCGAAAGAAGGCTCGAGTGGGATGTCAAAACACCATCCCTGTTTCTGTACGGTCTTAGCTAGAGCTCTTCTGAGATATCTCGGAGCTTTGCAGTTCAAAGGACCAGACTCACCCTTTTAATTTTTCAGCTGCTTATAAAAAAACTTGATAATGACCAAAGCATAAGATATAAGGTCAAAGGAGTTCTATTCAAAAGATTTTTTTTATTCCGCAATTGTTAATGACAAGATTTTCACCTTCTCGTAGACTAATTACAAAACTTTATTTAGTTCATTTAGTAAAAAAAAAGGGAAATATCACAAAAAATTTAGTATTCCTCTCCTCCAAGCGTCTATTTTTCATTTGTCTCCTTAGGTTTTCTTCCAAATGTATTGCCATCTTCAATTGTCTCCGGCAAGGGATATCCCTTCGTTTCGGGCATAAGAAAAACCGAAGCTGCAGCCAAAAAAGCGAAACCACCAAAAACGCCTGGAGGTATGTAGACATGATATTTTTTCAAACCTTCTATCCACGGCGCCATAATCGAACCAATGCGTCCAACAAACGAGCACAAGCCAACACCAGTTGGTCGTACGACAGTTGGGAACAACTCACCGGCATACAAGTAGACATTTGGAAACGTAACCGAAGCACCAAAGAGGCCAATTGTCGCCAGAACCACACGAACTACACTGTGATAGTGTGTGCCAAAAGCGAGGAGAGTGAGTGAAATGCCACTCACCATATTGGAAAGGAAGAGCGTTAGACGGCGACCCATGTATTTGGTGGCCGGTACGCATAAGCAAGTGCCAGGTACGCCCAAAATTGCGGCAACAAAAATATTAAGAAATATATTACCCGTCAACGAAGCCATAAATTGTGATAAGCCATAGTAGACCAAGCAAACGACCAACCAATTGAATGCCATGGCAATCGTCTTCTGGCAGAGGTAAGCGTGCTTGAATAAGTCAGCAAGATTACCCTTCTGTGCACTTGGCGCTGAGGCTAATAATTTTTGTGCATCCTCCACATCCTGTGCTATTTTATCAGTTGGCATTTTGTTGCGTTTGGCAGCTTTTTCGAGCAAGGCAACGGCTCGCTCCGTACGGCCGGTTGTAACAAGCCAACGTGGTGATTCTTGAAAGAGTTTTAATGTGGAAATTGCAAAACTCTGTGTGTTGAATTTAAACTTACCTGGCACGGTCCAAAAGAAGACTAAATAAACAACTGAGAAGGATGAAAAGGAGAGATGGTACCAACGCCAATGCCTAAAGAAATAGGCGAACAGCGGTAAAGTGGCATGACCCAAATTGAAAGGGATCTGATACAGTATGGCCATAAGCTCACGTTTGCTTTTACCCACGATCTCCATGATGATAGTGAAACTAAAATTATTACCAAATGATTCAGAAAGAACTGATGTACGCATACAGGCGCTTACCCTGTCGACATGGTGCCGCCGGTTGCGTAGCCATCCAAAAACCGCATCAACATATAGAACCAAAGCCATGGCGTAGCCGAAACTAAGCAACCGGCTACAAGTTGTAGTACACATGAGCTCACAAACATGGGTCGGCGTCCCCATCTACGAGACGAAATTATGTTCTTAACTTTTCCACTCCTCCGATATACCCACTCTACTTACTTATCAGCCAGCATGCCCATGATCATATTGCCCAACATAATGCCGACCATAACTAGTGATTGTGATAATTGTTCCAACCACTGGCGTTTACATATCAAATCCCATTCAGTAATTATAGTTTGCTCGAAAATGCTATGATCATATTCGTAGTCATCGCAATCGGCTTGGCAGATGTCGCTAACATTGCCACCGCTACCATCCTTACAACTGGCCTTGACGGGTGCCTGTAGGAAGACCATGGAGATCTGTACCCAACCGGTGGGAAATTTTGACAAAAATATCCATAAGCAAACGATCAGCTGCCATGGTCCTAAATCACCACCTAAAATTCCGATGATCGGGTCTGGACGTGGTTGTTTATCTGTAAAAATTGAACAGAATTTGAGAGGAAAGCGAATATTCTTCCACTCAGTTAATTTTACCATCCTTTTGCATTGTTCAAAATGTGATTTCTGATGTTCAATTTAAACAACAATAACGGTTTATTAATTAAAATCTATGTATGAAAAAATGATGTAAAAATTATTTTCCTGATTTGAAAAAAATTGAAAAAAAATTCATGTAATTTTTAAATAAAATTTTCTGACATTGAACAGCTTCAAATATACAAGGTTATGCAGTGTTTAAAATATTTTCGATATAATTGAAATTTAAATACCTATAAGTACGAGTTAAGTTATTTCAAGCCAAACACATGACAGACGAACTTCTTTATACAACAACTTCACAGCAGTATTGTGAACGCAGCCTCAAGATAGATCACTCTTCCCTTAGCTGCCTCACATAGAGGGTTGCCCCGCCTGGGCAAACAGCAGTCAACATGTACGAGGTGCGTCCAAAAAGTAATGAAAATTTTCACTTTTGGAAAAAATTCTTTGATTTTGCCGCCTTCAAAATAGTACCCCTCGTTTCTTGCAATCTCCCTACACTTTTTCAACTTCAAATCTGCACTATGCCATTGAAATAGATGATACTTCTTCAGCCTTCGGTGTTGGCGAGACGATAGGACGATGACATTTACGAGCGAATCGATGTCAACGACATAGTTTAGTGAATGAAGAGAGGACAACAATTCATTTTTGGCGGTCATCGTCAACGGGCATTTCCTTTTTGTTACAATTGTAGAGAGGGTGCCCCACAGCTTCACAAAACTTAGTATTTACCGCCAAAATCTTGTGATAGGGAACAAATATAATGAAGTGTGTTACTACAATAACAACTGAAAAAAAAAATTACTCTCACCGTTTGCACATCGAAAGAGCACGTGGTGGTTAACATAGCCTTCTGTATGATTTCTGTGACTCATGATTGGCACAAGAGAGCAATCGATATCTCCAATAGTGCCTCTAACAAATAGTGACGATCCTGTGAGAAAAATTTCCTGTATTTAGGTCATGGAAAAATCTAACCTTCGTAGAAAACATCGAACGGTTGATTACGGCTGTTAAGCGATAGATACAACGGATATGGATATCCACGATTAATCTTCAACGAGACGTTGATAGTATCCAGTTGCGAAGAATCACATTGCGGTTAGAACCTTTAAGCATTTTAATATTTTTAATAAAATAAAATTTTGATTGAGTTTTAAACCTGAGATACTGCACCCTCGGCTTTCAACCATTACCTCGGTCTATACTCGTAAATAATCCTTCGATAAAAATTTTCCTCACCACATCGCTGACACTAACAACCTGTTCACAGAAGAAGCGCGTCAGTTGCGCTTTACTGGTTTCCTCAAATACATCGAAAAAGCCTTTTGGGATTTTTTCATCTACTTAGTTAATCTCCGATATGGAACTCTTCGGGTACTTTAAACGTGATGTGTGTATAATGAGCATTTCAAGGCTCTTACATATTTCTGTCAGTTGGTTTTGACGATACATCGGAAGCTGAGAGCCCTCAACTTTCAGCTTAAAGTGAATGCAGCTAAGATCAGAGAATTAGTGATCCAAGGAGGTCTCCTGACTCCATACAATATTCATCTCTTTATTATTACAAAAAGTTACATCTTAGGCCTTTTGACCTAAGTTAATGAGAAGGTCTTTAGAGTTACAGTGCTCGAACAGAGACATTCCTCTATCGTTATAGCCTAAGCTAGCCTGAGTTAGCTCTATATGATGAGGGTTAATAGGGAAATCGAACGGCTGATGGAGCGACGCATACTTTATATGGGTCAGACCGTAACTGACCTAAACTAACTAGCTTTTTGGCTTAACGCAATATCAAACTTACCATGAAATAAGCCGTCACTAAAAGCCGCATTTTGCAAAGTGCGCTGCTCAAATGACCTGATCCCTTTGGATTTTCCATCATCAAGGATGGTGTAGTTAAATGGACGGGTCACGACTGCATACGAACCTCGGTTTTGCGCCTCCAGAAGTCTCGCTACCACCATAGGTACCTGGCAATGCAGATACATCGCTGTCCTTAGCAGATCAAGCCACTGCAGGAGGATTCATCTTTCTGTTTTCTGATTGATTTGGGCTCCTCAGAATTCCGGAACACTTATCCAGTCTTTGGAAGCTTTGGGTTTCCTTTAAGGTTTAGCCCCAGTGGCCATTTATTTTGGATTTGGCTGCCTGTCATCTCTTTTGCCAGCGTTCATTTCCTCTTTTTTGTCGTTGTAAGTTGATGAGCGCGGTCCGTCTAAGAGCGGGCTTGGAGCCTTCAGAATCTGTGTCCTAGGTTTTGAATTTGATAGGAAAATCCATTTAAAATCGTATATGTGTTTATTCGATTACATCAAAGGGTTAGGTTAACATTGATTTTTAACCGGATTGTACTTAGAATTGTTCATAAGTAGAATGACGAGGGCGGCCACATACAAAGGTCTGTTGCCACGACATGATTTTTTAAAACGGAGTAAGCCAAATCATTCTGCGCCATTTTTGATTGCATCGCGCATGCGTTCCCCATACATACTCGTTTTGTGCACATGCAACTGTTTGCCTCCACAACAATACGTTGTTCATGTCAGCGGATTTTCTCGCCTCAGGCAATTGTTTGCAACGTTTAGCCATGGAAACGTGCGTCCGACGCGTGGCAACTTCGACAGCAATGATCGTCTTTAAATGAGCGTGCAACATAAAAGGGAACACGGCAAGGGGCAGTAGAATATCTCAAACCGCCTCTTCCGTCAAACACTTCATCTGCACTTGGCTTTCTTCTTTTTTGACTGGTGGTTGCTGGTTGCATGAGTTCCTCGCTGCTTATCTCATTGAAATCATTGACATGGCTAATTTCTGTTTTTAATTTATACAAATAATTCAATTGCAGCAATTGCCGCTGACAGCGAACGTATGCGAGGTAACTTCGCAAATTACACACCACTTCACAATGTTTGCTGGTGAAATAGAAAGAAAAACAAAAGAAAAAATTGTATGCACACACCCCTTCAACCCCCTGCCGTACTACATACTGTGCACGCTCTGGCTTACATATTGAAGTGTTGTTGTTGTTGCGGTTGCAAGAGTTGTCACATTTCGTTTGAACGCATTCCTGGTCCAGTTCACAGGTTAAATGAGGCATGAAATAGTTTAGTGCAGATAAAGTTGGTCTCGGGTTAATTAATTAGTGTGCAACCGAAATGTCATTACAAGGCAAATATTTTAATGCTCTCACGCTTAAGTCTGCGGTGGGAAATACGCTTGTCAATCGGATATTTTTTATAAAGTCGAAATAACAGTAGTAGTTGCATCTCATTCTCTCTCTCTCTCTCTCTCTCTCTCTCTCTCTCTGAAATAAAATAAATTTTAGACCAAAACCAGGAATTATACGCATACGGGCTGCTTTGCTGTTAAAGGAGAACTTGCTGTTCCAACTTCGTCTTAGTCGATTCTTGGACGTTTCGATCTGAAAAAGATTGGCCTCTTCAATTTTAATTAACCATGCAAAGTTGCAAATATGGAGACCGCAATAGCTCAGTGGTTAGCACTGTGTAGTGTCATTCGGAATTCCAGGGTTCGAGTCCTGGTTCGATCAGCATCAAAAATTAATTTTTCTAACTTCGGTTGCCCCTCGGCAGGAAATGTCAAGCTCTTCGAAAGTATTCCTGACTTAAGATAAGAGCTGCTCAGTAAAAATCATCGGCCATCCGGAGGCGGTTTAGAATTTAGAATCATCATAAATACCACAAATTGGAGGTTAGAAGGCTCTAATTATATATATATTTATATCTATTGGAATCTTTATCGCATCTTCTTAGGTAAATTTCGAGTGACTATAAAATCGGCTATTTCACCCATAATTCTCATAAGGCGATTTTTTCATCCGACCGTTTTATTTCTTAATATTTCTTTCTTTGAACGGTAGTACGAGATTTAAGTCTTACTACGTTTAAAAGTAGTCGATTGATTCCTAAAGATTGTGAGGTGCGTTCTTTTCTCTCCCGGCACGGCTACCCATTAACCTCAGTTCTTTTGAAGAAGTATTATCGAAGACCCTGGTCTTGAGATGACGGTACTTCTCAGACACACACTAAACTCTGCTTTCTTCGGACAATAGAATGTCTCGTTGCTTGAAATCAACCAGCGAGGCAATAAAAGGTGCTGCAGCTGCATTAAAGAATATTCGTGTCGGTTGGCCGGTCGGTCTTGAAACACGCAGCACACAGCATGATAGTTATACGTGTTTTAAAGAGTTATATATCCTTGCTAGGTAAAAATTAGCTTCAATACAAAGTCTCGGACGAAATACCTACTGAAAGAATTCGCGTCTTAGCTCCAACGTACCTGTTAACATTCATAACGATACTTCTTCGGACTAAGGAGATAATCAAAATATTAAAGCTCTCTCTTGGCGAATCAAATTCAAACTGTAGAAGTCGCTAATATACCCTTCTTGCTCTATGGTGCGGAGGTCCGGACGAAGCAAACATCTGATTAAGATAAAGGATTTGCGAACAGTTTATGAAGATTTGGATATTGGCAATGACGAATGCCGTAGACGATGGACGATGGAGCGAATTAGTAGCAGCCGTTACGGTGCTTACATAGTGTCGTTGGCGACATCGCTTCTTCTTTGAGAGTGTTCGACGATGAATGTAGACGAAGTGGTGGTGATATCTTTGAAAAGATCAGATGGAGAAATATCTGATTTCTCGACGCCGGACGGCAAAAAGAAGGAGTTGCTGACTCGGCTACAATCACGTAAACGATGCTTACGTCAATTGAAAATAAGAAGAGGGTATATGTTGGATTAGAACAAAGTTTACCTTCCCTCCTCAATTCATCCAGTTTAAAGACATTTGTCGCTGTAATTTATTGTTGTAATCCTCTATCGGCAATCATCTAACATAAACCATAGAGTATTGACCTGCAATGCATACACTTTTGAATGCAATATTATCTTTATAAACAGGTGTTCTTCATTTAAATTTTCCCTTTGCAACCGCTTACCGCCATATCGAGCTCGTATTACTTCACATTTGTTTCCCATACTTCCTGTGGTGTACAATATTTTTCAATGTTCTCTAGCAAAATACGCAATATTTTTGCTGTTCCACATTTTCTCTTGCTTTATTTTTCCATCGTTTAAAGTCCCACCCACATGAATGAAATATTGAATGCCTCCTTACAGCCTCGCAAGCTGCCAAACTGCTACATGAATGTTTACCGTGGAAGGAGAGCAACAAATATGGCCGCCACATGCTGCGAATGAAGTTGAAGTGTCACAAACAGATATGAAGGTACTTCTTTCACTGGCTTCCACCCTTCGCTTGGAGTACTTTAACCCTTGACTAGCTGTGCAATTTTTTCTTCAAAAACCTAAAATTTTTTTTTAAGAATTTAAATTGTTTTATGAGAAGTTTTTTTTTTAATTAAATTTTATTTTTTTATATTTTGTAAAAAAAAATGAGTATTTTTGTCTTATATTACATGATTTTAAAGCAATTTTAGAAGATACTGTGCCACTAAAAGTACTGTGATTTGGCTGATAATGAAAATAGAATTTTAACTTATTTTTTTAAACTCCAAACTAAGAAACAACGACAATATAAAGTAAACTACTCCTCAAAAGCACCCAGTATTCATATGAGTTTAGCTCCGCCCATTTTATCTAACAACAATGTGTTTGAGTATTTGTGCAAAGGATATTCACAGAGCATTCTACTGCAGTTATCCTTGCGTCCACTTCTAAGGGTTGCTACACGCTCATACTCACCCAGCAGCCAAGCATATTTATATGCTGAGATTTCATGGCTTTGAATGAAATTCCATTGTTCAAAATATTCGCACTCTACTTGGACCAATTGGCATATAAAAGGATATGCGCTCATAGGATGTGAATTAATTGTGAAAGTTCTTATTAGCGCGCGGTTGTTTCCGGTGTGAGATTTTGGTGTATTTTAATGAATTTTACTTCTTTTGGAATAATTGAAAACTTCAAAGTTAATGATTTGTAAAAAAATAGATTAACAAACTAAACAATTTGAAAGCAATATTTAAACAAGTCTTATAAAATAATTAAAAAAAATTGAAAGTTATTAAATCAAACAATTGAAAGAAACGCAATGTCGCGCAATCAATTGCCGGACTCTTCATCCTCACCACCCATCAGGTTAATATTGAATTAAAAATAAATATGTTAATATGTTTCCCTGCTTAATACCAGCAGGAAGACAAGAAATAAACAAGAAAAAAAATTTGAATAGAAAGTTTAATTCCTAATCAAAGGTGAACCTCTTCAATGGTCCGCTTTGTACGTGAAACAAACTGACGGATATAAATATGTAATTGGCGCATTGTAGCAGCTCTAACGATTTTCCGCTGAGCTCCTCCAACAATTTGTGGCATACCTCTTGAAGTTTTTCCAATAAATGGAATAAAAATATAAATAGACCTACAGTTGTTTTAGCAGCCGCCGAACGTCCGCTGTTTTTTCATAAGAAGCTTTTTATTTGATGTCAGAAATACACTCGAAGAGCTTGGCATTCGCTGCCGAGGCGTGACCGTAATTAGAAAAATGTATTTTCTATAATTTCAGATGTTGGTAAAACCAGGAACCCTGGCCGTCGGAATGGCAATACGCAGTACTAAACGCACTTCTATTGCGGCCGTCGGAGATACAAGTTTTTAGTAAAAGAGTGCAAAATGCCAAGATACACTTTATCAAGTAAAATATAATTCGGGATTGGAGTACAAAAGCAATTATGAATCACCGAAATTCGCTTTATTGTTTTTTCAAAATACTCTCCATTAAGGTCCATGTTTTTGAACCAGATTTCGATATACTTTTGCCCCTCTGATCGAGATATCTGCAAAATATGCATTCTGCATGTATCTACTGCCTTTTCAGGTGTCGAAGAACGTTGACTCAGTTGTGCCGGTATTGAATTCAGTTTATTTCTTACTTACGGGAATAAAAAAAAGTCATTCGGTGCCAAGTCAGCACTGTACGGTGAATGGCATCATCATATCGAAGTTTTGAATGTTTAAAAATGGCGTTGTTTCAATCGATGTATAAGAGCTCGCATTGCGTTGGTGGAGTGTGGATCTCCAACGGTTGGTTCTCCTGATTTCTTGAAAGAGAACTGGCAAATAAATAGTTGGACGGCATTGCTCTAATTATACAATTGCGACATGCCCAGTTTTTTCCGAAAAAAGGCAAGAATTTGCTTGGAAGAGCTTCATGCGCGTACAACTGTCATTGACTGATATTTACCTTCGGGCTCATACGAGTAAATCCGGAAATTCGACTATCGTCGATGAGTACTGCATCGAATTATTTCAGAATTGTAGTGTTTCAGTTCATCTGGCCGTCGTGACCTAGCCACCTTAACCTTAACCGCTGTTAAATTTGTTGAACTATTTCAATGGCTTCCTATTTTCATAAAGCTCATCGTTACATAGTCTGAGATATTCACTGCCGCAGGATGCTGTCGTGTCCACCATTTTGTTGTAGTAGTATAATGGGACTTCTAGAGATTGCTCTTTGTTTGTCGAAAGAGAAATTTACTCTTCAACTGACTACTCAGGCCAAACTAGCATCTGTCGGCAAAAGTGAGTCTGTATGAATTTGAAGACTGACGTTATTGGTGGTCTTCATGCCGTCTTTAGATAAGCGAAATGAATTGCAATATCTAAATTACGACCATCAATATGAGGGCCAAGATACGAATTTTCTGGCTGTTTGTGGGAAGAAAGAAGGTATTTCGTCTACTGTCCAAGATACGAATTTCTTGTTCTCGTACACATCTTATTCGCTTCGCTTCTGTGTCTCTATTCAGTCCTGCAAATCGTTACTGGAGAAGAAAAAGTGTTGAAGAAGTCTTACGAACGACTCGGAAATATCCTCCCCAATTTGGACTGCTTTGCAGAAGTATATCTTTTGCAGGGATACCAAGTTAGGCATGGAGGCGGCTCCTTTTAGAGTATCGTTTCTTTTCTAACGGCACTTTTCCAGCACTAGACAAACTTCGAGCTTATAGTGGATCTGAAGCCATACTAGTAAGATCAAAAAATTCATCGACGGTGGGCTTTAGTCTTCTACATAAAACAGTAGATGCTATATTGAGAAGGCTTATCCCACCGTAATAGCCACAGACTGTGGGTTTCTCCTTTTTATGCATTGGGCAGAGCACACTCAGGTTCTTCTCGTTGTAACTGCGATTTTCAGCTGGTGGATGCATTAAGAGACTTTGTAATTAGTTTCCAATATTCCTTATGGTGGCCGCGGTAGCCGAGTCATTCGGAAAGCCCGTGTTTAAATCCTGGTACGATCAACTAACAAATTAATTAAAAAAAAAAAAGAATAATGCAAATTTTCTATTTGCGGTAGCTCCTTGGCAGGGAATGTCAATCTTTCCGAGTGTATTTCAGACATGAAGTAAAGCTTCTCCTGTTCGGAGGCGGGTTAGTGTAATCTGTAGGTCCCTTGCAAAACCACAAATTGGAGGACTAGCTCGGCGGAAAATCGCTTCAGTGGTTACAAAGCGCTAATAAGTGGTCTCAGAGTGCAAGGCGAGTAGAAAATATATTTGCCTATGTGCTGTGATTGCAGAATCGGGTGCGTACATTTTCTGCTACATGATAGTGGTTCGAATGGATATTAGGCCCTCGTAACGTACGCCCATGTTAAGTTTTCTTGTTCCGGAATATGGTTCTACATACTACCATACTTCGGGCAGAAGCGAAATCGGTCAGCCTCAGCCCATTGGAATGTACGTTATGGAGAACAGATACTTTGACTATTGGACGTTGTCAAGGCTATTCCGGTGTATGAAATTCTAGTTCGAAACAGGAAAAATAATAACCTCCAATATTCCACCATCGGTTACGTAAATATTTTTGTTTGCGCGACATACAAGTTTGATATGCATAATTAAACTGGTATTTAATTAGTTCAAAGCTCTATCAAATTTTCCTACAGAATCATATACAAAATGTTAGGAAATCAATTTGAAGAACGACATAATGATAAAAATGTCCTTGTTTTTTTTACTTAAATATACTTACATACTTACTTATATATACTTCCTCTCTCAACTATTACAGCCACTTGTCTTTTCATAATTTCGACGATGACATGATCAACGATTTGCCATCATGCGTTTATGCCGGTGCAGCGCATCAAGTAACGGCCACAGCAGGTGGCCTGGGTGGTGGCGGTGGAAATCTTCGCATGACCACAAATAATTTACGTCAGATGCAACAACAATACTTACATCATGCGGGTAAGCGCAATCGATAACCCAGGATATATTGATATTAAAAAAAAAAATGAAATAAAATTAATTTACAGAGAACTTATTGGACTCGTCAACGGGCATGTCACTCGCCTCAGCCAGCTCTTCTACTGGCTGCGGTGCTGCTGGCGGAGGTGGCTCATCTATGCTCTGTAACAGTCCCAGTGCAAGTAGTAGCAGCGTGGGCTATAGCAACGCAGGCGCAGTGAATTCTGTGGCGGCCGCAGCTGCAGCAGCAGGAACAACACCCTACAAGCTGCAACGACAGCAGGCCAACGTTCGCGAGCGGAAACGCATCCAGAGGTCGGCACCAACTGGGTACACTAAATGGTCTATTTTCTTTTCTTCCCACAATTTCTACTTAAAATAACCACAATACATATAGTCCAAATACAACCTTGCAATAAACAGATTCTCTTTGCCATTAGGTAAAATTTAACACAAACTTCTCTAACCTACATAGTTTTCAATTAAGTTGTTTAAAAAATTCTATCTGCATATATATTCACCAAAAAAATCTTTAAATTTTACTAAAATATATGCTAAATAATTTTTATTATTTTTCTTAACTCCGCTTCTGTTGGTTAAAATGGTATTTGGCTTCTGCAGTAGCATCAATTCAGCTTTCGATGAGTTGCGCGTTCATGTTCCAACATTCCCGTATGAGAAGCGTTTAAGCAAAATCGATACTCTGCGTTTGGCCATCGCTTATATTTCGCTGCTACGAGAAGTCCTCCAGACCGACTATGACCCACTCACCTATGTGGAGAAGTGTTTGCGGGGCGAGATTAAGGCAGATCGTGCCAATTGGAATACTAGTGGTGAGTATTTTATAACATTTTTGTAATAGATATATATATATATATATGTTAGACTCTTCCAATTTGTGGTAACTGTTTTTCCAAAAATTAAAGTGTTCAGCAGCTGCTAAACTCAAGGGTGTCAAGTGTGCTCTATAAAACTCGTATAAAACGCACGAAAATTTACATGTTTGCTTGCCTAGACTATTATCAGCATTAGTGACTGCTGAAAAAACGCCAGTTCCTAAGTGGTCTAAGTTTCGACTACCAAAATCACTTGAAATACTCTCTCGCACCATCATTATTGAAAAGACACAGCGCTCAATAAATTCCCGACGGAACAACGAAATGGTCATCCCGCACCATCTGCAATTTTCAGCCGGAGCTCCCCCTAATTAATTCGCAATATAAAGTGAAATCGCCATTCTGCAATATCTCCTCATTTTTTATAGGGAGAAGCTACCCCCGAACTTCTTTAAGAACCAAGCGACTCGAGGAATACATTCAAATTCATCAATTTACCTATTCCTAATCATCCTCTCCCTCTTACCCCAAAAACTTAGACACATATCTTTGTCCTTCATTCTGGAGGACCTCTTCTATTCTCCTGTACCCGTGGCTTCCACGGTTCTTGGTTAGCCGTTGCTGTGGAAGATACTTGGGGTATACAGATTTGAAAAGTAAACGCGGCGGAAACTATTCCCAACTTTTAGAGAAAAAATCGACATTTTATAGTGCAGAAAACAATATACTGATCTATTTGTGGGGAATCGGTAACAATTCGTTTATGGAATTTCTGACATCGAAAACCTGGATTGCTCTCCGATCAGACGCTGGGCTTTGAAACCGACAGCGAAAATGGAATATGTAATATAAGAGTCTGCACTTTGTACGCCGGAAACTTAAAATTAAATACGCCCCATCATACAACGGAGATTCGGTAAGTTATTAAGAAGGTAGCCTCCGCCGTACTGTACGCTGCTCCGATTTAGGCAGATAATCTACAAATTGAGACCTTATGGAGAAAGTTAATTGCCTCATACCGCCTCATAATTAAAAGTGGCTTTTCTAAGATATCTTGTTCTTTTCTTGATACGATGGATGATAAAAATTGATGCAGGCACCGACTGGTTTACCAACCCATATTAGTTTATTATAAGGGCTATTCCGAAATTGGTGAATGCAGCGATATCCGAAAAACAGGAAAAAATATCTAACATTTCCAAGAGCATCAGTAAAAATTCAAGATGTGCCGAAATGTTGGGGCAACAAAGGGCTTTATCAGCGTTACAAATGCTTAAATCGAGGAATGGAAACAAGGTATTTCCGTCCACATCACACCGAAGTGGTGGCATCGATAGCTACATATGTATGTATGACGGAGAGATAAGTTAAAAAAGTAGATTAACCAGACTTAATTCAGCATACAGAGCTTGATCTGAGCAATATATAATAAAATATTAATACAAGCTATAGTACCGTTAATAAAACTTTTTGACTATTTTAAGCTAATCAGACCCGAAAGGTAATAATTAATTAGAATTCGTGGCGAAAACGGTTGTTAGAAGTCTCTGGTTACATCGTATTTCGAAAAATTCGTTATAAATAGTCTAACCATACTAATGGAGAACCGAACTAGAAGAACGAGGGATATGGGAATTAATACCATTTTAGCTTAACGTGATGTAAAACTTTTAATTGCTCTCTACCATCTAAGAAAGAGCATAAAGTTTAAGTCTGCCTTTCACTTTGGAGAGGCCAGAAGAGCCTATTCTTTTAAATATGAGACAAACATCTCACAACTTGTGGTCTTAGACCAACTGTGATCTGGGTAGCCAAGTATCAGAAGGAGAAGTGATAGACTCATCAAAATTTATACTCATCGATTGAGATCAACGAGCTAAGTTGATTAGCCATGGCCGTCAGAAAAGCATCAAATATGATGAATTACTCATGGGTACTGAAATTCCGGTGCGTAGAACCAGCTGTCGCGAGAGAAAGACGTTAACACTACCATATTCATCAGCCGGAAAAATAGTAATACAGACTCGAACTCGTTGTGAAAGTCGGTAGCGTCAAAATTTCGACTACAAATAACACGAACTTACTGGTAGTCATATTCGACTGTCTGCACTTCCTCACTCCGACTAAAACTGCAATTGCCACAAACCTACAGGCTCGCAACAAAATCCTCAAAGCGTTAGGCGGCGGCACGTTGATGACAGTATACAAGGAAATTGGTCAACTGGATGTAAACTATATTGCTCCGACCTGGACGCCTTCCGGACCTTGACGGGAAAACTTCTGCTGTCGACAGTTTAACACTTGTACAGGGAAACAACTGTGCTACGAGTTAAGCAGCATAATGTTTTGCTGAGCAAGCAATATCTGATGGGATTCTACTGCAGGAAACTGCCTAACAGACACTAGAAGCCGAACCACTACCCAGGCACATCAGGAAGGAACTATTCGACTTTAAGGACAGGCTTTAAACGCCATTCAGCGAACGTCCGTTGACACCTTCCTGAACTCTCTTCTAGTGAATTGCGTTTTAGTCCAACAAACACCCAATATAGAGAAAAGTTAGAGCTGCCTCGAGAATCCAGCGAAATACTGTTTTAAAGCATTCATAAGCGGATATTTTGTATTTTAAATACGTATACTCGTGTATAAATAAAATTATCACCGAAAATCTTCATGATATAGTCCCTATCAAATAATTTATCAAATATTTTAATACTAAAATACAATACCATAAATTTGATATGGTCATGAAAGGTATAAAGCCTTCGGCATGGACTGCTCTTCTTTCTTGTTTTATGATAACATAGTTAGCATTTTTTCTATTTCTTCAAATCATAATCAAAAATACATTTTTCAAATTTTTTACAGATCTCACAGCACGTCTGTCATGGATTAATTGGGAGAATCTCGGTGTACATCCAGGTCGCCGTACCCTACTAACCACCTTGGCATTGTCATCGGAGCCAATGTGCGGTGCGCACTGTGGTCCATAAATACTAAAACCCAAATTCAATTTATTAATTGATTTTTAAAGAATTTCGAAAATATACATATATTTTAGTTTTGTTGTGATAGTAATTTAGTCCAACAGTCTTCCTTTACGGTAAATATAATTTAAGCTAGTTTTAAGTCTAAGTTAAGTAAAAGTGACAAAGCAAATGTAAGGAAATGAGCATTTATTGTTTTATTTTTTATATTTTCTATTTTATTTAATTGCTATGCAAATAAATACTAAAATTATTTCATGTAAAAACATTTATGTATGTTTTGGGTAATAAATATGTATGAATTTTGAGAAAAACAAGCAAAAAATGGCTGACTAATTTAATTCGAAATACAAGTCCAATAAATTGGAGCTAACTTTAGCTGTTAGGAGAGTTAAGAAAAAACAAAACGATTAATTCGCTAACAAATCTTGCTTATTTACTATTAAAGCAGCGATGTAAGCTGCTGGATTTATTGGATTTTAAAAAATAATTCTGTGATTTCTTCCAAATGTTGCAGTTTTTATTGGTTTCATTTTGTATGTAATAGGTGTGTCTATAATAAAACAATCATTCGATTTTGAGGTGCTCGTTGTTATTATTGTAATACGTATACATATGTATGTATTTATGTATGTTAGTGTTTTTTGTGTATAAAATATTTTATAAAACTGTTTGCCTCTATTCTATTTTCTAGCAATATGAGAGGAAGCTTCGATTTCACTATTAATTCTCAAAACACTCATACATACAGATACGCATTGATTTCTATTGCAATTCTACTTATACTTCTTTATACCATTTTTACATATTAAATTTGTTTTAAATTTGGCATTCTGTATAGTTTAATGTTGCTCTCCCAATTGGTTTTTAGTTTTTTTTTTATAACTTGAAATGATTTACATGCCTAAAATAAGCTTCAATTTTCTTTTTATTAGAACAATATTAGTATGAAACAGCTTGCGTTACTTCTAAATTATTGCCTACATTTAGGCTAAGCGTCTTTTATAATTAGTTTATTTTTCTTTAAATCAAATTTTTAAATAAAATCTTTTATAAAAATGCCATTACCTAATGAAGCACATAAAATATATTGTATATAATTATGCACTCAAAGTATTTAAACGGTATTTTAGTAACGGAAGAAAAGCAGTTGGTAATATTTAAGAAAAAAAAAATATATATAAAGCGATTTTTAACGACGACAAAAATCAGTTGTAATATTTTCCAAGAACATTAACAGTTTAAAAATATTTTTGGTTAATTATAAACTATTTATGATATTTGAAAGGCATGTCTGTTATTAAAATTTTTCCATTATCATCACATGAAAGCGTTGAAACGAAAAAATTAGTATTCAGAATCTTAATTTTCTATGTAAAATAAATTATTTTGGCTTTATTTTTGTTTTCAGCGAAGACAATTGATCCCAATTTCGCGAAATTTCATAAATTACGTAATACGCGCGTGATTCATTGAAAGCAATATATAACTTAGAAAGACGCACCTTTTGATTTTTTTCTGCTTTTCACATTTTTTTCCCTTTTTGGTTGCGAAATACTGGTAGTTAACTAATATTTTTATTATATTTTTTTTGTTCGAAATTCGTAATACACTTTTACTCTTATAGATCCTTCTTTTGCGGAAATTTTCGCACATTGTTGAAAATAACAAACGAAAATAACTTCATTCTACATAACCTATAAACTGAAAGATAAAGCGTCTAGGTATGTAGGTAAAGCAAAGCAGCTTGCAGCACGCAAGAACAAATACCTTATATTCCTAAATACCTTTATTTCAAGAATACAAATTAATTTAGAAACTCAACAACTTTTAGTTTGTAATTTTCGCGAGCATATAATCATAGCAGTTGAACATACATATAAATAGATAAAGATTTTTCTACATATCCATGTAGTTATTGTGCTAAAAATACTACTACCTAACTTTAAAAAAACATTTTTCTAACAAATATATGCAGCTTGTAGCTTATTTAATGCTGATTTTTAAACACAACAATAGCAGTACATACATATATGTAGCATGATTGAGAGGCAATGAACATGACAGCGTTTAAGCACTTTTAAAACTAACTCAAGCATGCAAAATTGGTGAAAAATTTTATATTTTTGTGGTAAATGAATGAAAAAAACGCAATAACAACTACCAATTGCTTTAATTTAAGTGCACTAACACTGTTTAACTCACACGTACACATACAGACAATCGTAAAACAGGCTTTTAAATAAATATTTATAATAAATACTATTATATATACACTTTGTATCGTTATAGTATACTAAGCCATATAAATTTGTATACATTTGTAACTTAAATTATCATTTTAGTAGTATTATTTTGGTAGTTCTGTTGCTTATAATGCCCTTTTAGTGCCCAACAGCTATATAATTCGTATTGGTATTATCATTTGTTTCGTTTTACTTTGTTTTTTGTAAGCTATTGAAAGCAATTCCATTCCATGAGTTGACTTTAAGCACTGGTCCTACTGCATTGCATATTATCTCGCATGTAATTTAATATATATATAAATATATGTAATATTGCTAAACATTTAAGTCTATTGTGTACATGTCTTTTTGAAATTTGTTCGCATTTCCTTTTACTAATTTCATACCTTCATAAATAGGTGTGTTCGGTAGTTCTTATTGATTCTTCAGTACTTTCGTGATGTGTATTTAAGTAACTTTAGCCGCTAGTAGAATACAATTTACTCGTATATCCGTGCTTATTTTCAACTAAATAATTCCTACAATAATTCTTGCTAATTTGCTTAAGTATTATTACGTCCTACGCACACTGTGCGTAATGCCTCAAGCTCACTACGTTTCAAACGTATCTTGAACATGGCTTCCGTAAAGCTATGGCAGTTGGTAACAATGTCGTCCTGCATCATTTTTTCGCGAAATAGATTCGCTAATGCGGCGATATCATCACAGCCGAGTATTGCTGTTTTATGTGTTAGGAATAATGCTAATGCGACGCGAAAGACAATCTAATGGTGTGAAAAAAAGATAGTAATTAATTTAAATGTTTAAAATTAATTTTTGAAATGAGAAATATTTGAATCAATACCTTATAACCTTCGGCAAAAACGCAATCCCAAATACGCAGTACAGTTTCCACAGGAAGCACTTCAGCGAAAATGCAAATGAACCATTTACTCGCTATCACAGCATATGGTAAGCCTAAAATATTAAATGTAAAATAAAAATTCCTTTTTTTTTACATTTTTACTCATAAATAGCTGATTATAAAGAGATAAGCCTGACTATCTTCTAAAGTAATAAAATCTTTTTATTATTTAACATAATAAATTATACCTAGATTTTCTATGTGTCGGTTAACTTGTGGCGCTCGTCTTATAATCATCTCTTTGAATACAGCCAAATCGCGTAATAAATTCGCCATATTTTTTGTATGATACTGTGGCACAATATTCTCCACTATATGCTTTAACAGCCAAAAAGATTTCTCTTCATCATCGGTGACGATTAACAGTAAACCTAGAAGAAGAGAGAAACGTTAAATATTGAAGGATGAAAAATATTATATATATATATATTTATTTATTTTATTATTATTATTAAATAATATTAATTGTTCAACTAACCCGCAATATAGTTCAATCCCTGACAATAGCCCACATCGCGATTGTGATGCGCATACGCAGCCAATATATTGAAGAGGCGTTCTTTCTTTGTATCGAAATGAATGTTGTCGGGAAATGTACGAGGTAGATCAATTATTATGGAATCGCAGATTTCTTTCTCGAAATGTGCAGTCAACAAATTGCGATAAAGTGTGGGAGAACGTTGTTGTAATTTCGCTGCACCGGAAATCTTCATCCAAACATCAGCACGAAAGGGACCTGAAAGGGAAGAAAAAATTTCAAAATTAATATGAGCAAGACCAGCGCCAGACCATGATCGTACAATTTAAGTTTAGTTACATTACCTGGTATGCCCTTTCGTATGTATCGTTTCAATTTGCTATCAATAGTCGCGAGATCGGCATTGCGTTGTAGTATAGCTTCCCATTTCATGCGCCGTTTGGTGAGCGTTTTCAGGTAACCGGACATAAATTGCTCATAATTTCGATAGTCGAAATTATCGGAGCGCTTGAAGCCATATTCATCAACATCGCTGCGGGGCGGAAAGAACGAAATATATTAAACATGGTAAATATTTATAATTTTATAGCGATCACATTTTTTAAATCACATGATTTGTATAAATATGAAATTCAAGATATTGCCTGACAGGCTGACAGTCTCCTTTTGATTATTCAACTTTTTTGTATATACCTCAGAGTCGTTTAGTAGCTCTGTATGACTAGTTGCCACGAGTACAGACAGATCACGAGCAGCTGGATTACACTAAAATTTTAGGGTTTGCCTAAAACTTAGTTCCACCAGAGCAGAATTTGCAGCTCTTCAGGGGGCTTGAAATCCAATCTACTTATATTAAAATACTTGTTCTCGAGTTTTTGTAAAGAGATTCCTCCGGTGAAGATGTCCACATTTTACATTGGCATTGTGGATCACGATTTTATTGTAGTTGACGTGGAACGATGCGGACATCAGTTGGCATGCCAATATTACTTAACGAAATTATCTTTCCCCAGCGCTTAACTATTTCAAAACTCCATCGCTGAGACAACAGATGTAAATAGAAGAAAGTTGGGAAGAGAATGTTAAAAGGGATTTAATTGCTTGAACGTTCATAGTGGAGTTTTTGGGTGCCGAAAAGTTAAGTTGAATTGAGTTGCTGCGGCTGCAGGTCACACTTAGGCCAATAGGCAAAATTGTGATACCACTATGAGAATCCCATCTTCACCTTCTCAAATGATCGAACCATTTCCTGTGTCTTTTAAAGCAACGAAGTTGACAATTTTCGCTGAGACCAGCTAAGCGCGACAGATGAAGAAGAATGTCCCCTGGAATTTGTATAGCGCAAATGTCAAAGCTGAACAGTATCAGACTCAGTAGACTCCTCCTCTTTTGTGTGCCTACAGTTCTCACAAAAATCATTAGAGTATTAGACCATTATTTTCCCGTAAAGTTCAATTAAACAATGGTCTGTTACTATGCCTGTCGTTATGTTAATAGAAAACCGTTGCAGAATGATAAGCTGTTTTGATTTTTACGCGTCCAACTTTGGCCATAGCCGTCTGGTCACGTTACCAGTGATCTTATTCAGACATTTTGAGTCTACTTCTTTAGCAAAGGCCAGTTTAAAAAACATATACAATAATTTGCTGTGGGCAAAGGATGGAAGAGTTCCTCCTCTTGCTAGTTCGTCTGCCATTAATTGCCTGATATTTCCATGTGTCCATGTATCCAGACCACAGCAGTGTTGCATTTAGTAGAGAGCTTGATCAGATTCCGTCTACATTTTATAGCAAGTTTTGATGTGACACTGTTACATTGTAGAGATAACAGCTTGACTCTCGGAATATATCGTAGCTGCTTGTTCTGCTGCCGTAGATTTGAGCAGTCACTCGGCGGCTTCCATGAATGCAAAAAACTCTGCTTAGAAGACGCTGAAGTTGTCTGATTGTCTCATGCTCATATTTATTGAGACCGTCAGATAGCGAATTCCGCAGCCCACTTTTACATCGCGCTTTGAGCCGTTTGTCTGTAAAGATGGCGGCGACTGCTCAGTTTTGCAAACTCCACACATTGATTTGATTAGCGGGTGTGGGGCATTAGTATTCTCAGTGGTATCACAATAGGCCCGTTTGTGGCCGAAGTGAGCAAATAAATGACAACCATTGCAACCAATCAACGAAGCACAGATGGCTTTGGCTCCCTAAGCGAGGTCACAGATTTTATCCCACTCAGGTCTGTTAAGTATTCTCGTGGAGAAAAGAATGTCGAAGCACATGCTGGAGGTGGTGTAGTCCAACTCCTTAGGCACTTCGGCTAGAGATAATATTTTATTGCGTCCTCTATTGCAATTCTTCCAAGGTTGAGTTGCATTTAATCTAACTGCTTTACAGCTCGCTTGTAATTTCTCGTACATTTCTAGACAAAAGGTTCAGAAGAGTTAGCAGCGTTTTTGTGGAAGTAGAGGGCATACACCTCTTACCAGGATGCGAGGCCGAGGAACAAGCGGTTAAACTTAGAAGTGTTAAGTTTCGGAAGAAGATATAAGACTTTGGTCGAAACTCTGGCGTCTTAGATGCTCCAAGTGTATGAAAAGGTCACTGTAAATTCTAGAAATCGGACGACTATAGCATATAGCTCCCGTGCACCAATATTTGTAGATATCAAAAAAGAGAATGAAGTGTCCCTGCATATGGAGGATTACATCTTATAGCCCCGATAAAACTGAATTCATTAGACAGGAGGTTTTGGCTCAAAAATGCATACGAGCATGCAATTTCGCATTACACACACGTTATAAATAAGCACTACCACCGAACATCATCAAAATCGGACAACCTCATCATATAGTCCCCTCCAACCAAATTTTCCTGTAATGAGAATTAATATTTAAACCTGAAATGAAATACCATAAATTTTTTAAGGTCGTGACAGATATAAAAACCGATATTTTTCATTGTTAATTATATTTTTAAACTGCTGAGTAATTTGCATACAACAAGTTTCTGCCGCCTGGAAATGCATGTCACACTTTTGTATTTCGATTTGCAATACTTTCTACCATCAACGCAATAATTAAATAAACCACATTGATTTGTGCATACATAAAAATATATTTCCATCCACTTCCATGTAAAAAAAAAAAAACCCAAAAACAAAACTCGTTATAACTTTGTGGGCAGTTGAGCGCGTGACAAGCATTTAAAATGAAATCGTTAAAATCACATACATACAAAATTTTAGTGTAATGATAACGGTAAAAGCTTTACTTCCGTTTTGAATATAATCTTTTTTTTTTAATTTCCATGATTGATAAACATAGATAAGCTCTGTTCGTTGATCAGACGGGCAGTAGCAATTTTTACCAAACTTTACTGGATCGTGTTCGTTGAGCCAAAAACTCAGTAAAAACTGGTAATGAGAGAGCGCAATTTTGACGTTTAGTTGAAGAGAAAGTTGTAAATTCGTGCTGAGAAAATTTCACCAGTATCAGTATCAGTAAAAACTAGCAAGTATGAAAAACAGCTGACTTGTGATCATATGATTAAATTTTTGTCAATAAAAAAAAAATTAATTTAAAATTAAAATAATTTAAATTTTTAATAAGAATGTTATGCCATCAAAATGTAAGGTTGTTTAATTTAACTGAAAAATATCAATGATTCCAACAATTGTAAAGGAACGCGTTAAAAGAAAAAGTGGTGGCAGTGGCACACCACCCAACTTGCGTTGAGAGCTTAGAAATTAGGAAGGCATGGAATTAGAATTTATTATTATTATTTTCTATACAGCGCAAGTTGATTTTGGATTTCTATAATTTACTACAAAGCAGCGTCGACCAAATCAGCAACAAAACATCGCAAATAACGGACTCTTAAGCTTCCAAAAGCGACGCCGCTGCTCGAAATGAAATATTAATAGAATTTAGATGAAAAAATTAAAGCTCTTTCTTAGTTTTGGTTTAAACAGAATCGAAAAAAATCTTAAATTATGTTGAGATAATATGGCCGGCTTACATGGAAAAAGAATTTCAAGCTGAGTTTCGCATTTCAGGCATCCTTACTAAATATCTAAGCGACAAATTGTTGCTAATCAAAGTTTTTTCTATAAATCTTTATCTTTTTTGAGAACTATTAGAAAGTAAGAACTCTTAGTATATTTATCGTTTGACGGCTATAAAGCATGTAGAATATCATCATTGTTGAAATACAGTAAATTTTGTATACAATTAATATACACAAAATGCTTTCTAATTGCCAATTTTATTAAAACATTTAGGAAAATATTTCAAAACAGGAGAAAAACTGTACAAATGATCGTATTCAACCTGCTGGATAATTTTTACCTGTATTCTATTCGTTGAACCCTCAGTAAATTTCTTTCTTTGGGAGAGTAAGACATCTTACTCTCTCAATTTCATTACTAGCTACCCTGCAAGAACAGGCTTATACACTCACACGATTTCGGGCAGCATCGACACATATGCATATTTTTTTGTTTATCTTTCTCTTCTGAGTGCATACAAATTGAAGACGAATGCAGTTGAACGGATTATCCGTTTTATTTCATGTTCTTATTTTCGAGTACAACGCTAAAACATGGCGTTCGTTTTCTCCGTAGTAGATAGCAGAGAACGTAAAATTGTTTTCTTTTGATATCAACTCTGCCGCTCAGCTGTGTTCTGTTTGTCCAACAAGACTGATGAAAATGCACAAGGAAACAAAGAGAGTACACGTATACAAATGTAAACATCACGTTTGACATTTCGGCATTAAGAAAGTGATTGGAAAACTGTTCGATGAGCTGACGGGATATTATATCAAGCATTCCTAACATATGTTGGCTGAAATGATCGGAAGCTTTTTGTAGGGTATTTTTTACTGACATTTCTCAACGAACACAGCTATAGATAAAACAGAGTCGTGCGATAAAATAAAAAAAAATATGGACACGGTATTGGGTTTGAAGGTATAGAAAATTGAACACACCATAATTATTACGTTAGGAGCCACGCCTTTGGTCTTAATTCAGGCATGGAATTAAAAGTACCAATGGAACAGTAAAAATAAATATTTCCTAAGTATTTCTAATGAAGAACAACTTACTGACGACGTTGTGATCTTGGAATTTTGAGCTTAAAAAACAAGAAGAGAGCCATCAGTTGGCATTATTGCTATTATTGCTGCGTGGCAATATAAAATAATCCCCTGAAAAACATAAATTAATCCCCTGCGAGGTAGGGGTTCCTACGACAAGGATTGCCTGTTCTAAGAGACGAGTAAAATCTAAAAGCGAGAGCGAACATTCATTTAAGTTTTCTTAACTTTTAGATACCAACCCAAAATATTCAGTTAATTAAGAAAATTTTAATTATAATCCTTATTTATTCAAAAATATGTATTAACAAACAATCACACAGGCCGGCAAAATTTGATTGAATTTTGTAACCAGAAACAGGGCTGTACTTTTCGGAAGGGTTTTTATGTACTGAATCCGAATCTGGATTCAAAGTAGCTGCAGCAAACTCAGTAAATTCAATAGACATTTTCTCAGAGGAAAAAATAAAAAAGATTTTTTAAAAATTCAAAATGGCTTTTGAAGAGTAGAAGTGGTATTTTCAGATAGAATACCGATCGCAAAACAAAAAAATTAAATTTTTTCTAGAAGTAGCTTGACCTCAAATGTATGAAGAAAAACATTTTTTCGCACTTTTAGGTTGAAATAACTCAAAAACTTGAAGTACTGGAACTGTTTGGATTTCTGGTCACAAAATCGTGTCGGCCTGTGTTATTGAACGCAACAAATCTTGTAAACGTACGGCTGCAAGCAAACACGTGAGGCAGTAAATAAAAAAAATATAAAAGTACACGCTGATGGGCAGCTGTTGCCTGATAAATATACATACAAATGAAAGTATTATAGCAGAACTTTGTGCTGTAAATGACGTAATGCCCATTTAATACGTACTACAAAGGTACACATATGTATTATGTAGATGCATATATTTATCCACAAATGTGTAGTAATTGAAAGTACCTACGTTTGTACTTACATGCATACACAGTTCATACAAAAATATAATTAAACTATTTATACGAGGGGATTAACAAAAGTTCGGTCAGTTGGAGACTTTGAATTTGTTGCTGTAAAACCTAAAAATATCAAATTCTTTGCAATTACTTTATTAGTCTTCCATTCAAGTTTTAGAATGCTCGGCTAAAACGCAAGATAGGTGAGGATAGGTTGGACGAAATTGTACTCTCTTTAGAAACTATTTCCAAGTGCCCCCTGCGGCATGCCTGTCGTAAGAAGCGACTAAAATCCAATAGTTCCCGCGACAGTCGGGTCTATATACCGGAACGACCCGGATTTTTATCCAGCCAAGGACTGTCGTTCCCGCAATATTCCCAAAAAAGTACTTTGGATAATAATTTTGCGGTAACAACAACAACAACACAACTATTTCTAAGTGGTTCCGAAGATTCCAGACTGTACATTTATTTTTCCGTAGAAGACGAGCCCCGAGAAGGTTGACCAAAATCTTCCACTGATGTCGTCACTGTAGCTATGGTGGGCTTGAACGCCTTATCTGTATATGTATGGCGATAAACGAAGAAATCTGCTGGATTTGTTGGAAAACAGGAAGAAAAAGAATTAGCGGCGCTACATCACGTCATCCCACACAGCCGAAATAACGAGGAATTTTATTGCGATCTCAGCGATCGATGAAATACTTGCAGCACCATATTCCGCGGATTTCTGGTTCTTTCCAAAAATCAAAAAAAATTTAAAAAGAAAGGTCTTCAAAAGCAACGAAGAGATCATTAATGCGGTTAATGCTGAACTTGATAAGATTAACAAGCAAGATTTTGCAGACAGTTTTCAGAAGTGGATTTATAAGAGAGGCATGAAAAATGCTTTGAAAATACGATTATAAAGAGAGATAGAAATGGAAAGAAATCACGCATAACTTAAAAACGATTTTTTCTTTTCTGATGAATTTACCGAACTTTTGTTAATCCTGTCATATGTACCTCCGAAAGCATACATGGTGCTCCATCTTTTATGTCCGTATGTAATCATAGAATAAATTTGAGAAAAAACAACCGATTTCTATTAGTGATGTATTTTTATTCAGTTTGGTTTTTTTTCAATTTTTTTTGGACCAGTTTTTGAAAACAATATCAAACAAGTGGCTACCTTTATTAGCAATTACTTAATGATTCTTTTTTTCTGTGTTTCCCATTACCTTTCTGAGCATCTCGGGTGTTTTGGCGTCGATTTCAGCAGGAATGTTTGCCTTGAGCTCATCAATAGTTTGATAGTGGTTGGCGTAAGCATTGCTTTTCAGATAACCCCACAAAAAGAAGACCGTGGGCATTAAATCAGGTGATCTGTCAGATGGTGCCTTTTTGCCGCGATATTTTTTCCGATATGCTCGTTGAGTTAACACAATGGAACGACTGTTTTCGGTGTAAAGTGCCACTATTTCAGCGCGTTGTTTCGGTGTAAAGCGTTGCATGGCAAAAAATAGTACCAAATTGGCGTTTCCAAAACATATCTGATGCAATCACTCAGTTAGTAAATTTGAAAGTTATTCAGCGTTTACATACCGGCAGAAAAGATGAAGCACCCTGTATACATATATACTACTTTGAAGAGCCACAAAATTGTTTACCAAGGTGTGGTACACTTCTACCATGTACACATTTACAAGCATAAATATGCGTTTTCATCGATACGTGTGTAGTTATGTATTTATATGTAAATAATGTTTAATCAACGCAAAGCTTTAAAATCACTTTGGCAGTCAAAAATTGTTGATGCGCTAAGACATAAAATAATAATGTATAAATTCTGCCTACGCATTTACATACATTACACATAACTTCACCTTTACTTACTTGAAATTACATATAATTTATAATTAAAATAATTACCTGAATCTTGATATGCTGCTGGCTGCCACCTCCATAGGTATTGCTGTTTATAGGCCGCACTGCATAAATTTGTATACTCCCAATCTCGAATGTGGAAGCTTAATAGCAATCACTCACAAGTTGGAATATGGACACTTTATATTTTGTATTCTAACGCACGAGTTACCGGCGTTTGTTCTTTTCACCACTTTCAAGATTTTTTCACTCTTTCCACTTCCTGTAACACACATAAACTCTACGGCATGCTGTCATAATTGTAAAGTGAAACTATGCTAAACACTTTGCACTATAAGTCAAGCAACGGAAACGTTTAGCCGGCATATCCAATGAGAGCGTTGATTGTTGAAAAAACTGTAAAACAATTGATTCTTTTGTTTATTGGTTATTTTTTCAGTTCATTCTTAATAGCGAATCCATCCATCCATATATCTAAAAATACCTATGGATGTATGTGTACATAAAAACACCTGCTTTTTATAAAACCGAAATATTATTAAGTGGGTCGAAGGTAAATATGTATGCATAAGAACATACTAAGCCAGCTGTTATCAGTTATTCACTGATTGGGTTGTATATTGTAGGCAAGGATTTGATTGTAGGAATTGCTTTGCTTTTAAATACAATATTTTATATGTTTGCTTGCATGTATGTTATAACAGCTTATATTATTTTTTTATAATCAAGGAAATTCATATCAAACCCGATACACCCAAAAAGTTGTCCTTGAACTTTTATTTGTCTACATTAATAAGTAGGTGCCAAAATAAGCAAAATATCCCGAATTCGAAGCAGGTGTAGTAAGCACCGTTGCAATAAGTTCTTTCTCTAACTGAATAATACATAAATCACTGACCAGACAAGTCGTTCAATTAAGTTTATCTTATCACTAACTTGCACCGATTTCTAAGTATACTAACACAACAAGTTTAGGCTTCTACACCAAAATCACTGGACTACTTTCAAATTGGGGGCGTATGATAAGCACATATTTTCTTTTTATTGTATTGGTATGTATGTAATTTTTTTATGAACGGCATGGCGTTTGCTAGAATTATCCTATGGAAAAAATTCCATAGATACCACATTCACATTTTGCAGCACCCCCTCAACAAACAGCTGACCTATAGGTGTTATGCACAAAAAAGTTCTCTAAATTATTATGAACTTTAAGCGGCATTAAATACCTTTCTCTAATTTAAATTACACTTTGAAATTATTTTTTATGACGGTATCATTTTTTTTATTTTGTCACCTGCTAAATGCAGACACCAAAGCGCGCTTTACCCAACCAACTTTTCGCAAACACACGAACGAACGTAATCAAAAGTTTTGATAATTTATTTTGTTTTGAACTACATTTTCTACTGAAATCAATGACATTTCCGACTACGGCGAAAAACCCGTCAAATAAAGAAAAACCCCACAGAGCTGCCAACGACACGTCATTTAAACATTTCCCAATTACAATGAATTTGTTGATCACCGTAGTTTCGAGCAGGCAAGTTTTCAAATAAGAGAGCGCCCATAAGCAAGGGGGCATTTCTCCCTATCCTTCTTTATGGAACGTGGCTTTTCGGAACTACATTTATTTTACTAAAAATACATTATTTTAAAGGAACGATATTTTTATATACAATATGAGGATTTGTCCTGTACAACTGACAGTTCAACGCATAGGTTAAACTGTTAATCGTAGAAGCATGCAACGTAGTGTTCCAATAAGAAGGAATATTCCGTGAATTTGACGAGGGATAGATCTATTCGATAAAATCATTCGATGAAAAAAATTTTTATATCATTTAACATAATATTAATATAAAATAAAATACAAAAAATAATTAACAAATAGAAATCTTATTCGAACAACATTCAAATCTCATTTGGGTGAATTAATTATGATTGATTATATATTAATTATACATCATTCAACTTTATTTAGTCATTAAATCAATTATTATTTACAATTCCAGGAAAATTACGTAGCTTTGCTTTCGCTTAGCTACTTTTATTTGCAAAATGGTTACATCAATAAGATTTTAAAGAATACTTCGTCTGTGAAATTACTTCTAAAATTTTAACTTTTGGTTTCGCATCGTTTATCAGTATTGCTGTATTGGACTACCCTTTATTTCTGCTCATAACACATATGAAGCGAATTCAAGCAGCTGTTTACCAACTGTCAACTCAAATGTCACTTTTTGTAATCGACAACGAGTCTTATGCAATGCTAAGCAACTAGGTAATAAATTTTTGAAATATTTGTTTAGTTTAATATTTACCTAATGTTTTAAATGTAACATTCTAGTTTGCTGGAAAAGACGTATCACAGGCCTGCTTATTAAGATAGTACATTAGTTGAACGCATTTAACGCCAACCCGTGCGTGCCACCTTCAAATATCAATCGATTGAAGATGTTCCGAAAAATTATAATAGTTACACCAGCTACTGCTCTTCTGATAGCTGCCGTGCCTGTGAAACAATCAGAAGCAAAAGTTGGTGAGAGTCCTGCGGTAAATGCCAATTTTACATGTAAAGCAAGTGATTTGCCACTTTACCAATCGCTGCACGAGTTGTACGGGTATGAGAAATAATGAATTTGCTATTGGGCTTCCATTTTGACTATTTACAAATAATTCTTTTAATAGCACCAAAAAGGAAGTACATCCTCCAAAAGACTCTCAGACCCGTCAAACTATAGAAGGCGGCATAAGTGTTGTACGTAAGGAAGTCCAAGCTGGTATCAATGCAATTTCCCAACAGAAGGCAAATTTCGACAACTACTTGGAAACAGCCAAGGCACACACTCAGTCTACCATTGATTATCTGAACGAACCGCAAAATGTGCTGCCACGAAGCGGTGCCATAGCGGTTGGAGGCTTGTCCGGTTTCATTTTTGCTGCACGAGGTGGTTTCATTAAAAAAGTGCTTTATACGACAATAGGCGCTGGTGCTGTTGCTTCGTTATGTTATCCACGTCAAGCAGAAGTATTTGCACGCGATGCACTGGTACAAGCGCGTAAAGGTTTTAGCATTGCTTACAATTTTGTAAAAGGCGTAAAACCAGGGGATGAAGTCGATATCGAACCGGTTACTAAATTTCCAACTAGCATCGAAGACTTGAAATTTCTAGCTTTAGATTTGTATGACGAAGCAAAAGAAGCGATATTTGGAAAGAAACAGTAGACTCAAAAATTAGTGAAGATATTAGCAAAAAAAAAGAAAGTAAAACAACAAGCTTCGCAATAAATTTTTAGTGTTACAAAGCATGTGCAGCATAATTTACGAGACAACATTTAATGGTGAGCTATATATTTAAGACAGTGCAATTACAGTGCGATAAAATTAAAAAATTTTTTTTTTAATACTGAATGTATTTTTGTGCCTGCCCGAAATCACTTCATTAAAGCTGAAAATGTTTTTATTGCTACCTTGAAAACGATAATATTGTAGTAATTTGTTGCAAAAAAGGTTAATGCTTTGTTTTTAAAAAATTTTAATCTAATTTCTCTTTACTGAATTGATCCGGGACGGCACAAAAATATATTTACAACTGGAAAATTATAGTATCTAAATAAGAAATCAAAGGTTCCGTAATTCTTTAAACTAATAGTTCACAAATTAAATTGTAAATGTGTTTTAGGAAAAGACATAGTCTTTTTTGCGCTGAGTAAATTAGTCAAAAATTAATAAAAAGCGAAAAACTAGTGAAACATTATAAACGACTTTTATTCTTATTTTTATTTACCTACATTTATACATACGTGTACGTAAGTTTACTTAAACCTGTTAAATCTTTTATTATATATTTATGTTTAGTAAGATGTGAGAAAAGGCTTAAATACCTTTAATTTTTCTTTTTTTTTGCAAAACATTATACTAATAGTGTTTGCATGGCATATTTTATTATACTATTATTAAATTTTATTTTATTGTAGGTATTTAATTCATGATCAAATCACTAAATACGCAAAGTTTGTAAATGTAATATTTTTCCACAAATAATAGGTGTGTATTCATATAATTCTTGTATTTCTTTTCGCTAACAGTTTCAAAGTAAAGTGCCGACAACACAACGCCATACGTATATATATAGGTAAACGATGAATGCAGTGAAAAAATCAGATAAGAGGGCAGCAAATGTCACAACAAATATTTTTTGTATTGTCTGGGATTGTATTTGTGAGTGAAATTTACGTTTCTGCGACACCCATAGAGCGTATAACTACATACTCATATATATATATATATATATATATATATATATATATATATATGTATGTATGTATAATTTAGAGTATTTTTTGCCCATATTTTTTGCTTACTCTTCACTCTACCATCTGTATTTGTATGTGAGCATAAAAATGTAGTGGAATAATGTGTAATAAAAAAAATTAAAAATAGTAGTTAAAGATGATCTTTGTTCAGAGCACTTCTTTGGCATCCATTTTTTATTTTTTTTGTAAATATTTTCTTTTTGTCTTTCAAGAACGTGAAATGTTATTATAATCTTGGCTCGAAGTTTAGCCCCCATTCGTGAGATGATTTGTATTGACTTTTGCTTTTTACAACGCCAGCGTAATCACTTTCAAAAAGTGTACGAAATATTGTTAATTAATTGAACTGAATCGAGGCTAACTAATAGGAGTTCTAGGAGACGACCAGTTTGGACGCATTTGAGCCAGACATACGTTGTTTATGTAGATGTTGAATTTGGAGAAATAGGTGTCTGCTACAATATCCACATTTTAGTTCTGTTAGTATGAATCGGTGACGCCATGAATTTAAAATCGAAATTTATCTATTGACCTTCACAGGCTCTCAAATCACGTAATCTATATCTGTGTGGGTGAAGAAGAACAAGAGTTTTACATATGGGAAAGTGATGTGGTGATGAGTTGATGTGATGCAGTGACATATTGATGTGATGTGGTGACATGTTGATGTGATGTGATATGATATTTTCATGTGTTATGATGTGTTCTTATTATTATTGTCGTGTACATTTTTTTATAATTTCTTTTTTTAATCCGTAATTTTTTACGCTCAAAATTAATAAATTTCCTCACCTAGTTATCATACCCAGATAATTCTGTCTGAAATGCTTCGTATAATGGTACTTGTAGCTATTGTTACCAGCTCACCGAACCGGATTGTGTTTAATGCGGGTAGCCTGGTAAGGGTGACCTATTTTGCGTCTTATCGTTACTACACAGTTTTGCATTGTATGTGGCCATCTCGCTAGGCTTTTTGATTGGTGATTCTTAAACCGCAACTGCAAGAAAATTGTCGAATTGAAAATTGATATCAACTGGCTGCCTCGCAAGCACAATTTTACTCCGTTGTACTACTTTTAGATGGGAGTCTTTAAGAATTAGTGCTACCCTATCAACCATCAAGCCACGATTCATTAATTGAAATACGAAATTAAAGTGACCTTTGCAGCCATAAATCGCCACACAATCGAGAATTTTTTGAAAAATTGGGACGACACAAAAAATGGGCTATTGCAGTAGCCATCATATGAATGAAAAGGCCGCTCATCATTAATCGGAAGATTGAGACATTTTATTTTAAAAAGATGAAAAATATTGAAAAAAAACTAACGTCCGCATGGAATTCTAAGGGGTTCTGATGAGACTTTTATTTAGTTTTTTTGGCAAAAAATTGGGACAATGGTTTTGAAGGGACTACGTTTGAGGCCAATTGTTCACCAGCCAAATCATTCGCCTTGGCATTAACGATGTGTGTGGTCTGGCGTTGTCTTGATGAAACAAAATTCCCCTCTTGTTGACCAAAGCTGGTTGCTTTTGAGCGATTGCTTCCTTCCAGGGGACGAGTTGAGAGTTTGGCCGTTAGGAAGTAGCTCATAGTGATGACTTCTTGACAATTACAACATACAAATAACCTTACTTCCATCATTCCTGGCTTTGAGACCTTTTGTGCCGGCCACCACTAGACACCTACATACGTTTCGGGAATGAGTCGATTTCGTATTGATTTTACGTTTGGTGTGCCACCCATTAGAATTGAAAGTTCTTGAAGAAATTGTTTTTGTTGTAGAGTTTTTTCATTTAAAAAATTATGAAATAACCAATGAATAAAAATTAAGAAAACAAATTTTTTTTCTGCATTGAATTTTATTTGCTTCTTTGGGCAAGATTAGTCATAAATTAATAAACTAATTTATATTATTTAAAAAACCTGCACAATTTAGTTTATTTTTTTTTTAGAAAATAATTATAAAAATGCATATCTAATTAAAACTAATATTTTTTTTTTCTAATACAAATAAACCAAAACACATTAACTGCTCAAATATTTATGCTTGCGCCTTATTGTTAAAATAACAACAGTGTGATGAGATGACTTTTACTATTTACAAAATTTAATAAATAATCAAAAATGTTAATTCCAACCTGCTATTGAAACTGTATGAAAAGTAAGAAAATAATAAATACCGTAAAAGAAGATAGAGAGGTGTGAACGGAATAAATATAAATAATGTATATATATGTATATCCAAGACATGATTATCATTAATGCATACATATATAAACATTTTCATAAACACATACATATTATATATACTCGTACCTTAACACATAAACTTAAGAGTTACAAATATTTTAATTTAGTACAAATAATTATTTAATTATAAATTTGCGCTATTAGAAATTCAATTATTTATAGTGTAACGAGTTAGGCTAAATTAACATTTTTATTAAACTATTTTTTTTTTTTGTTTAAATTCATTTGACTTAAAATTATTTCATCACTTAATTGGGTCTAGCTAATTTTCATAAATATAAATCACATAATTTATATAAATTAATTTGTTTTTTAACTATTTATGTATTTATATTGTATATATATATATACACATATGTATGTATATACACACTATGTATTTATTTAAAAGACGAAAACGATTTCAAAAAAAAAAAAAAATAAATCCTAAATATTTACAGTCTATTTCAAATCGATTGCAAGCCGGCCTACTAATGCCTATCACGCCAATCACGACACATTCTCCATAATCCAGGGCACAAAACGTGAGATGCGCGTACAAACGCCAGGCAAATTCGCCTCTGCACAGCCAATGCCCCAAGAGATAATACCTGCCAAAAAGAAACGTCCCTCAGCGGATTTAACCTTTGTAGGAGGAAAAAGAAAAGAAACAAATTTTTCATTAAATTCCAAGATATACCATATACCAACAGCTTGTTACCTGCAAGGGTCCACCTGAGTCGCCTTGACACGAGTCATGTCCGCCATTCTCATAGCCGGCACACACGAAAATATCCGGTATCGACTCTTGCCGACCGGCGCGCGCGAACATTGACTCACAGATGCCGTTACTGACAATCGGCACAGACACCTTCGTCATAAATGGAAAAAAAGAGAAAATTTAATTATATTTTTTTGCCTTTTTTTCACATTTAAAAACCACTCAAACACACTTACCTCTTGCAACACGGATGCCAGTGTGCCGCCCTCACTTAGTCGCCCCCAACCGGTCACTGTGGCATTCATGCCAATCAACAAACTATCCGTTTGTGGCAGACAAATGGGACTCACATGCGGCGCAAACTCTACTGGTTGTTCCAATTTCACCAATGCCAGGTCATATTCGTAGGTGAAGAAATTATATTTGGGATGTACGACTTTCTTGGCCACGCCGCGCTCAATGTACGGCAGCTGCTCCTGCACGTGTGAGAAATCATATTCACCGACACGTATGCGCATTTGAGAGATAAGTAGACTGAAAACAACAACAAAGGTTAATTTGATAATGAAAAGTTGTTTCGATAACAACACCACAAAAGAGCTCTCAAACTGTTATAGGCATAAATCTTTCCAACGCCTTAAAGTAAGGCTAACCCAACCTTAAATGCAATGTAGTACGAATGAAAACCCATAACAGGTATACACTCGGTGGACTCTACTGCCTATTCGTGATTTGAAATTAAACAACACCCAGTGTATGGGTGTCAGGGTCAATCGATCGACTGCTGCCATGGACCGCTATTAAAAAAATCAAATTTTCTATAACTTTTGATGGTGGTCGAACCAGGACTCGAACTCTGGCCGAACGCACTGATAGTCGCCAGGCTTTTGCTAATTTTTTGAGATTAAAGATCGGAAGTTTATTTCAATGTAAGGAGGAAGATGTGTCATTATTAATGGAAAAGAATATCAGTCAAACGACCGCCACGACTTAGCTGACAGGACCGGTTCCTTTTTATGAAATTTTCCATCAGCAAATCGCAAATTGGCCGCTATATGCCCTCAATAGCGCAATCCATTCAGAACGAGTGTTGGTCCAGCTTCGCACCAACGAAATGTTGAGAATGGAGAGGCTTTTCAACAATAAATTTTAGGGCTTCCGAGCCCCAGATGCGATGGTTTTGCTTATTGGCGCTGAAATCGAGGTGGAAATAGGCCTCATCAGTCAAGATGATTTTTCTATGAAATTTTCATAGTGAATATTATCAAAGGTCAAATAATGACAGCTTTAAAAGCGACATCTGCCGGAATAACCCCTCTTGTTTGGATTATGGGTAATAACTCACAGTAAGAATATAGATGGTAAGCCTGAATTCCCATTCGACAACTATGGGATAGAGGTTCATCCGACTAGGATAGTATTTGAATAACGTTTTCAGCCTGAAGTCTAGCCGAACCAACAAGTGGTCCGCTGCTCATCATTGCGTTAGTACGGGTTTCTCATAGAGAGGTGGAGAATACGTGGAAAAGCAGACTCGTTTAGAAAGCTTAAGTCCAAGTCCGTCTATGGAGTCTGTAGAAACTTCAAGCAATAACAACGAGTGCACGACCTACATTCTCTCGAAAAATATTTAGTTAAATTGCCTACACAGCTTGTGATTTGCCTTTGCACCAGGCCAGCTTTTGCAACAAACGATTCACTTATGCCACGGAAGCTTTCTATGATGCCGGATCCTTTTTCATACCAACCTGAATGATCCTGTAAGAATCCTAATTACCTTTGATATGTTCTCCTTTTTTATGTGACAAAGGATACAATGGAGAGTACGTGTTTTTTTCATAACAGACCTCTCAAGCCCTACTTGGAATGAACTCGCAGCACCAAAGTGAACGGCTTGTAAGCAGCAGTATATGGTATTGATGACTCTTGAAACAACTATTTGTTAGTTTCTCTGATTAGGATCCCATTTGTGAAGCTCTACTATACTATGCTACACCTTGGGTGGATAGTCTTACGTACAATTTTATAATAAAAAATCGCTTTATCTTAAGCTCAACTACCACATAGCTACTCTCCACGACTGCTTAATATTTAAACCTACATAAGTAACCGTTATTTAATTACTTACTCATCGACACAATGTCCCGCCGTAGCAATCCAATTCTCATTGATCAGCGCACCACCACACCGATGCGTACTGGAGAAACCGAAAAACGTTGTGCGACGTACAGACACTTGCCAGGGCCACCGGCCGAAAGCCGCACTCTTACCACCCACAATGCGTGTCTCTGGACGCGCTAAGACCGGAATGCCACATTCTATAAATCCGCCGCCAAAAAAATAAAAGACAAAAGCAAATGAAAGGAAAAGAAAAAAAGAAAACAATAAAAATGCGTAAGAGATTAGCTGAGAAAAGACATTTAAAACAATTTTTATGTTATTGGACGGAAACTTGAGAATGATTGAATGCAGTTAAATGATGGCTTAAATAGTCTGGTGGCCGCGGATCACTAATGCAAATGCCACAACGAGTGATAAATGAGCCGAAACGCAAGCCGTAAAACTAAAATATTTACAACGTACGATTCGACTGAAGTTGTAAAACTTACCGCTACGCGCGGCCGTGATGATTTTAATGGCTGTGCTATTATTCGTCAAACTATCGGAGATCTCATTTGATTCGATCGTCGTTGTAAGATTGTGTGGCGACAATGTGTGATGTTGCTGTTGCTGTTGCTGTTGGTGCTGGGGCTGAGGCTGTGCAGACGGTTGAGGATGCGGATAATGGCCATAAGTGGGCACGTAATGTGAGGCAGTGACAGACGTTGATGGTGACGACGACGACGACGACGACGATGACGATGACGGCAATGGTGATGATGATGGAGTGGTCGACGGTGGATGCCGCGTGGGTGCTGTGGTGGACCAGATAGGGTGATGCGTCGGCCGTATGGGAAACATAGAGGAAGTAGTATGTTCAGTTGTTGATGATGATGAGGAAGAAGTCGATGTTGTTGTAGGTCTATATTTTTGCGTTGTTGTCGTCATTATGCTTGTGGTTGTTGGATTCTTTGTAGACTGACTGCTGCTGCTGCTGCTGCTGCTGCTGCTACTGCTGCCGGGCACACCACTTTCGCTAATGACCCAGCTGGGCGTGGTTGGACGCGTGTAAGGACGCGTTGTCGTTTTTACCGTAGTACTGGCTGGTGGTCGTGTCGTCGTTGATGTTGCGCCCGCTGTAGTTGATGTAGTGCTGCTGCCAGTGCCGGCGGTAGTCGTCGCTAGTGATGTTGTAGGCACTTTTGTTGGTGGCTTCATATAAATAGGTGGCGGCCGATATTGTTGCTGGTGGTGCTGGTGCTGCAAATTTAAGTTATGAGATTGAAATTATTCAAAGTTATTTATGTCGTATTTGGTGCTCATGTCAGTGGAGATTTTTCATAAGTCCGAAATCAATTTTTCATTTCAATGAACAACAACAGCCCACATGTCTTCTGCTGCAGCGACTGCCAGGAAAAGCAGGCGAATTTACAAAAAATAAAAAAATTAATGATTTGAGGCTCCCAAGGCGCTTAATGTAAGGTTGACTTAGCTTTCATTAGTTGCATTTCTGGAATAGAAGAGCTTACTGAAGCTCACACTTCTTACAAAGAAGACCATTAATAATGATGATAGAAGAAAACCATTCCTTGATCGTTCTTTGGAATTGCGCATTTCACAAACGTAATTCCATCATTTTTGGATAAAAACTTGAGTCTTGAAGCTTATAAAATTCAACTAACATAAGAACTCAAGCCCGCCGATCATCAAAAACGTCGTGGCTTTTGTTGATTGGGTCCTTAAAATGCATGAAAATGATACGGAATGTCTTCGAAAAATCGTCTTGACTAATGGAGACCGTCGAGGTGGAAATCGACGGCAAAATCAATATGCATCCGCAGTAATCCGCATCTGGGCCTCGGAGTACCCAAGATTTATGATTGAAAAGCCTCTTAATTCTAAACGTGTAACTTTTTATTGCTGTTTATACTGATCCTGTCTGACCCTTCGGGTCATTGGACCTTACTTTTTTAGAAATTAAGCTGGAGTAACTGTTGCGGTGGATGGGTTGCGCTATCGAAAGATGATAAATGGCCAGAATTGGATTGGATTGATCTGGACAATGTTTATTTTGAACAAGACGGTGCTACGTTGCTGTTATCGATCACGATTGACACCCTGCGTCTACTTCTTTTGTGGCCACGTGATAATGCCTACGCCATCAACCCAATGTCGATTCAAGACTTCAAATATGGAATTCGTGAAGCTCAAGTGAATATAGATTCAAAACTGAAGGTGGTTAACATGGCGTAATACCATTTGGAAGGTCAGGGTTTGAGTACTGGCCTGACCCATATCAAAAATTAAAGAAAATGAGTTTAAATAAGAAATTCCCTTCGGTAGGACATGTCAACCCATCGGAGCAATGCAAGAAAAAGCTCCGCATAGAAATCTATCGGTCATTCGGAGGCAGCTTAGATTCATTTAATTTTTGGAAACCATTGAGACGCACATCACAAATTGGAGGAAGAGCTCACTCACACTTTATGACTTGTCTTCGCTCCAGATAATGTTTCTCAGCGTAGTTCACTTGTCTGATCATTAGAATTTGTCAAATTTTACTTTTAGGTTAGATCAGGTTAGGTTGGGAAGAAGTTGGAATTTGTCTAAGTTGCCGGATCCATTTTCATACCATCCTATAAGATCCTGTCATAATCCTAATTACCTTTGAAATGTCCTCTTTTTTCTATAGAAAAGGATAAAATTAGGAAAGCCCTGAGTCATTTAGTCATTTAGACATAGCTCTGAACATGAACGGATTGAGTATAGGCGATATTGTCACTAACTAGTGTATTAGAGCTTTCTGGTGACCGTAAAAATTAATCCCTGTAGCTTTGCGGTTCTTCATATACCGTCCCCGCCACACATGCTGCATGCGCCGCCACACTTTCATGTTCGCTTACTGATACACTTCAGTGGATCAATCGACCCAACAACTGACCAACACACAAGTGGATGTGAACGGCTCAGCTGAGCGCTTGTACCACACCCAAATGACGGCCAATCTTTCATCAGCTATTTTCAAACAATAAAATGTCGCTCAAGGCTAGATAAACATTTTTATATGCCCAACAAAGTCGAAATTGGTTTTGTATTTGTTGCTGTTGTTGTACTATTTTGCGATAATCCGCCCATGCCGCTTAGTTTAAGTACTTACATCTGTACATACGTTTGTCAGTCGGTGTGCGAATGAGTGAGTGTTTAAGTAAATGACCTCGCCATGTGGTCCGGGTCCGTGTGTAGAGTGTAGGGCATTATTTACATACCTGTTGTTGCTGTTGTTGTTGTTGTTGTTGGTACTGAGGCAAGTTGCTGCCGAACGAAGATGATAATGATGAAGTCGTTGAGGTGGTGGACATGGGTGCAGAAGATGACGAAACGGAGGAGACGAACGGTGGCTGTGGACGCGTCAACGACAACGCAGATATCGGCGTTGTCGGCCTTTTGGTGGTGGCTGCTGTTGATGTTGAAGGCAATGTTGATGGTTTCACTGTTCCTGGTTGCGTAGACGTCGGCGGCATTGGCTTTCGCGTTGTGTAAACAATACCAGCCGTTGTGTACTGCTGCTGTTGGAAGCTGGGCGATTGTGGATGTGGCAAGATGGGCTTCTTTGTTGGCTTTGATGGCTTTGAGGGACGCATACCGGTCGGTTTCTCCCAGCTGGGCGGCCGTGGTTTGGTAATAAAATTCGGTTCAGTCGTCATGTGCCAGTGGTGGTGCTGCGTTACGGCTGCCAGTTGTGGTGATGTATTCCAGAGATCTGCAGAAATAATGAATTTTAATACGTGAGAGACGCATATTTGCGAGATAGCTTTGGAGTGAATATTCCAAACTAGGGTGAAGCTGGTTTCAAAATTTCTAATGCATATTTTTTTTTTGGCAAGAGCTTAGAGGGTTGCCAAATTATTTATTTAATTTTGAAATAAATATATCTTACTTGTCGAAGTTACTGTGGCAGCAGCCGACTGCATATCCTGCAGTATGGCATTTGATGTCCACAGCGCGTTAGAGCCCTCCGTTGAGCTGGTTGTTGTTGTTTTCATAGTCGTTGAAAACGATGTTGTGGGCCCCAGCGAGGTGGGTTTTGTGTATTGCGGTCTATACAGTGCGCCCTGATGATGTGGTCCCGATGGACGTATGACCAGCGTACCAGCGCCATGTGGTCGTTCTATAGTAGTCATGCCGCTGAATAGAGGTTATAGAGAGAAACGTTCGAGGGAATATTTTAAAAGTTTCATTAACAATTATTTCCATAAACTCACCTTATGCTCGGCTTGTGCGGTTGATGCGGCGGTCGAGGTCGATGATTCACACCGCCAATGCCTAGCGGTTTTGTTGGACGTGTGTACGAGAAGGTTTGTGGCATTACAATATTCTCGGTGTAGTTGTGCGCACAACACGAACCGAACATAAACGAGTCGACGCACATGCCGACATGCCGACCCTCGGACTTAATGCACTCCCACACGAACATGCAGGTGCCTTCGATGCGTCCAATTGAGCAGGGCTTCTGACTGATTTTATAATTTTGACTGCGTTGCAATTGATTCACCGACAGCACTCCATCGCCATCTGGTATGCTGTAGCCTGCCGCCGTCGCCAGCGAAGTAGCCGATGGCAATTGTAATGCATTGAAGGCATACGCCGCGCTGCCACCTATACTGTGCGGTTGACGACGATAGCTATTGTATGCTTCGGCAAAATCATTCTCGGTGCTATCACTGGTGTCGCGTTCGCCCAGTTTTCTGCTCGTATAGAAATTATACGCATCGACAAGAGTGTCGGCGCCAGTGGAGGGCGTACCGTATGCAGCTCGGGCTGTGGGCAGTTGCACCAAAAGCTGCATAAGACAATTGGCTAATAGTAAGGCTAGTAATACTTCTATTATTTGGTTAAGGCAAGCGTTGACTCGTGTGCGCTTTACGTGCGCTAGTGAGGACTTTAGTGACGAACAGAGCGTTGGAGTTGTTTCCTTTACAGAAGCACTCCAGTGGCGCCGCGTATGCAGACACTGCGGTCTGTGGGGCGCTGTTTCAGCCACCGTCGTATATGTGGCGTATGATGTTTGGTTAAGCGCTGGTTGATATTGGCGAGGTTTTTCCTGCTGTGTAAGGGCGTTGCAAAGTCGCCGGCACTTGTGTTTAGCGTGTATATGCTGTTGTAACGCCGATGTTGCGCCATTGTGCGGGATTGGTAACTGCTGCTGCTGTGGCCGCATAGGCTCTGGATGCCTCTTTCCCCTGCCTACCATGTTCACCTGCTTTGTGTCCGTGACTAGCCATCTTCGACTATGACAATTTCGTTCATTCCACATGTTGCACAAGTATAAAATTTCTGAAAGAGATGAAAATTGAGCATTCAATAACTTGATTTATTTGTAAGGAAGAGGAATTTTGTTTTTTTATTCCTCACTCAATCAGAAAATGGCTCAGTAGGTCATTTGAGTAAAACTTCTAGATAAAGCTCTAGAGACTATATATAAGTTAAGATGGTAAAGTGCTCAACTGGTGTCACGCAAAGCACGAAGTATAAAGGTAGCGAATTGTTATCAGAGAAGTTGCTGAGGACGTCGGTATACTCGTATCATTTTTCGAAAAGTTTGGACTAAATTTGAAACTTAGCTTAAGATCTGTTGGATGAATTCTAGATTCTGATGATTTTGATTTTTTAAGACGTTTATGTCTGTTGGCGAATCAATCCTCTAAAGTTATGTTATCGAAGCTAAAGCCCAATCGTTCCAATGAAAGAGTACAGGAAAGTCAAGACCCCAAAAAGTAGGCCCAGTTCGATAAAATATCAATGTTATGCTATGGATTTTTTCTCATTTTCATGGTGTACGGCATCAGGACTACTTATTTTTAGGTTATATTGTAGGTACGTGAGAGCGGTTAGATGCTCGGGGAATGAAAGGGTCGTAGGGTGGTGATTAGGCTTCAGTGACTCATAATAAGTATACACACGAGGTTTCATTGTAATTAGACAATTAGAATTTGAGCTATCGTCAGCCAAGCAACACAATCCGGAGAATTATTGAAAAACTCGAATATCGTGTCGTTATAAAGTTCCTTAACATGCAAGGAAAATCAGTTACGACCCTAATGAATGAGTACTAATTGGTTTACGACTACTCTTATTCGGGAAAAATCATGATGCACAAGTGACACAGCTGATTTAAGCAAGAAAGGAAGTTCCTTGAAGACGACCCGACCGCGGACAGTAGTATCGGGGTGAACACGCCAGAACTTGTAGCAGCAGCCGATGCTACTATTTTGGCATGACAGTGCAAGTTGGGTACCGAGAATACTCACGCCTTCGTAAAACCAATATCCAATTTATCCAATTTGTGGTGTGCGTCTTATTCCAATTCCAACAAATGTAGCGTTCTACCATTTATACTAAGCCGCCTCCGAACGGCTGATGGATTTTTATGAAGAGCTTTTATTTCATGTCAGAGGGGCTTTCCTTGCCGAGGGACGACTACAATTGAAAAAAAGCAAATTTCTATTATTTCGGTTTCTGGTCGAGCCAGAACCTGAAACCCGGAAATCCGAATATTAGTACGCAAGGACTGTTATTCAGCACCACGTACAAGAACAGTTGAACAGGACGGTTTACTGACAGGCTTTAAACGCCTAGAGTATGTGAACACCTATTTGAACCCTCTACCAGCCGACGAGCTCACGGAATCAGAGTCCCACGCAACACTGGCGCATTCAAGACAGTAGTCTCCATTAGAACCCGAAAAAAACCGTTTTTCAGCAATTTTTTTTGAAAGAGAAGGAAATTATTGAGGTAAGCGAGATTTTCAGATAGTAATGTACTATCCTTAGTACCAAAAAATATTGAAAAAAAAGAGTTCAAATCAAACGTTTATCCAAATGAATGATAATTTATTACTGCAGCTAGTTCGTTTTGATTTTTTTCGATCGGACATAATTCTGTTTGCTATCATCGGCAACGTTTTCTAAATAAAAACCGAAAGCTCGAGAAAACGCGCTTCAAAAGTCTGCCCTAGCATTCGAACCTAGTCAACGCTCGGCCACTAAAACTGCTCAGCAGTGGACAGCTCTCGTTTAATGGACCTTCCGTTGGACTGATCTTGACTGCCACTCAACGTGGTTGGACTTTTCGCTACAACAAAAACAACAACAACGCCAAGCTAGCCGATTCGGAAGTTATATTTAGTATTGAGTTATTTATAACCAATACCGCACACTCAGCTCAACTTTCTACCTCCAGCCCTTTTCATAGAGTAGAAAGTGAGTTGCATATTTAATTAATGCATTTCATATGCCGATAAGAAATGATGGCAATGAAAACAGATTAAGTCAAGTGAAACGCTTGTAGCCAAACCGACTAGACAGCTTAGGTAGTTAAGTATATACCGGCAGACAGTGGACAATCAAGTTGCAGCTATCGACTGGTCTGCTAGGCCATCGGAGCGGCTGTAGATTGTGGTGGTGGCGGTCAAGCAAACGGACTCCAGCTCGTATCGGCAAGTGGCAAGTTGTTGGACTGACTGAAGACGGTCACTCAGTTACTCAGTCAGTCAGTTAGCCAGAGCAGTGAAGCGTGCGAAATGTTGTTCAGTTTGTGTACATGTTGCACGTTGGACGAAGTTGTCAATTTTGATGGTTGCACATACTCGTATGTATGTACATACGTGTATGTATTAATTATGACCAATATATATATATATATAGATATATGTGAGAGTAAAATTAAAACAGAAATAATCGTAACAACAATAAAATAGATAAAAAAAACTTACAAATGACAAACAAACTGATTAATGAACGAAGGCATGAATCGGTGAATGAAAGAAAGAAAGCGCGTGGTCTTTCAAAGCGACCTATTGAGAGGCGGTGGCAATGGAAATAGAAATAAGTAGAAGAGGACCAGCAGCAATTTGTGCAAACAGACAGCGAGGCGGGCACGGCCGGGCAAATCGTCAGGGTGGGCTCGGCTGGCAGGGTTAGGCTGGCATCAGACAAGCGAAACCTGCCAACCGGCAATTAGCTACAACGCATTGTAACGCCACAAAGTTTAGCGTTAAGTTTTTGTTGCTTATACATACATATACATTTTTTTTTTACCTAAATGTTGATATATGTTGCAACATGCACTGGCTGCAGGCAGAAATATTGTGGCAACAGCAGATGAATATAAACAAAGCTGGAGAGTTACGTAGATTGTGGCATCAACAACACCGAAAGCAACAAGTGTGACTGCAACGACTGTAATAAACTACTTTTTGTAGTTCTGTTGTTGATGTTTTTGTGGTGTGCCCCTGCCTGTACTGCTGTTAATGTGGAAAAAGTGACGAGTTGGACAAAACCATTGACTGGTTTAATTGCAACTTTTCACTTTTGCGAATGCCACACAATGGCTTGTAGCAAGCAACCAAAACACATGCATACTTGCATACAGCCACACAAGAAAGAAAACGTAAACACAAATCTACACACATATGTACACAGACACATAAGAAAAAACAAACGCAAACACGTCGCTTGCCTGCAGTTGCAGCAAAAAAGGAACACCACACACAGCTGATGGGTTGCCACAATAAATTAGAAAAAATAACACAAAAAATGTTTTCGTTTTTCATTTCAACAAAACTTTTTCACCATTGCGATAGGAAGGTGTTGGCGATACTACAAAAAAAAGAGAAAAAAGAAGTACAAAAGTGCAGTTTGTATGATGAGTTATGGCGAGTCCAGTGAACAGCAGGGTTGCCTTAAGCGAGTTCTGTTCGGAACCCTAATAAGGACGGCTGCTCGGCTGATCGGTTCAGTTGTTGGTAACATAGACATTCGACAAAGTTGACAATATAAGACGACACTTAGCTTGTGAGGGAAAAAATCTCATTGATCTCATTATAAGGGCGGCAGATATATTGCGGGTGTAGGAGTGCAAATTTTCAGAGGATATGCTCTTTGGACGTAATGATTGGTTGGTAACTTAAAAAGTCAGCCTGAGAACCGAAGGACCGCAAATTTTACGACGAACCCATCGCCACAAATCTCCCGCCCGACCGAGAAGCGCAACTGAAGAATAATTAAGCAATCTCACAGCCCAGTAACAGTCCCGACTGGCCTTGACCCTAGACCTATCGCAGTTGGTCACGATTACACTTGCCTCTTACACTAAACAGTAAGAAATTTACTAATCAGCTTATAAAATAAGGAAACTTAAAGCTACTGGAGCGTATAAGGATCAATAGGTCATAAACGACTTTCTAAAGGTGGAAGCTTCTAATTTACATCCCGAAGTAATTATTTATTTTTTTATTTACTTTGAGTGACTTGTAAAGTTTGGTTATCGTTCGTAGAGAAAGATCTTTATTTTTCAATTGCCTACTTAGTCCACGGTAGCACCTGTTAGCAAAAGTGATAAGTTGGATTTCCAGGATGGCATTATTGTAAGAGTGCCGTGGGAGCCGATCTTCCGATCTTGATGGAGATTTGCATTTGATTAGTTTCCGCTTGTACACTTTTGCTACTTTTTTCCCTGATTTTGAAGACTGCTTTAAATCAACGAAAAGTTAGTACAAGCTCGATGGATAGGACCTGCCATATTGGGGATGCTTATTCTACAAGAATCGCGCAGATTATGGTGTTTCTCTTTTTGCGGATTGAGCAGACCATTCTGAGGTTCAAATTGAGCTTGGCCAGCTCTTCACCACCATATCTGAATAACTCAACTGATAAATCATCATCGATCAATATTTTGTTTTTATTCTTCGGTTCGGTTAATCAAAATCACTTAACAAGCAGGAAAAGTGTTCTCCCGTTAGCTCAGTATAATCCGGCATCGGTCATCAGATCGCCTTTTTGGGTCCAGTGGGTACTGTATGAGTATGCACCATTATTGAAACCTGCTATAAGTTTGCTGCATTTTTTCATAGAATATTCGAACATTACGCCCGTCGGCTAGCTTCTTATGCTCTTTATACTCACGCTTTTTGACATCTCTCTTTATCCATCTTCAACTATCGATATTTATCCCAAATATCGCGTCGCGGCCCATCACACCTTTGCGATGTAGGCAGTCCTTTTTCGGTCCACTGCAGTACGACAATCCTCATCGTACCAACATTTCTTGGGTGTAATGACGTAATGTTCCTGCTTTGGGTATAAATTTACAGCTGCAAGGCTATTCGTAATTCCTACTCTTGGCTCCTGATCGCACACCATGGAAAGCAACCCTTGTGCGATATGTGCTTACTAAATACCCTGACACAACTCAGGTCTAGATATTGTAGCAGGTTCAACTCCTACTTATCCAGACTAGACCCCAGCATACCCAACGTATGCCCTGCT